TTATATTTTTTTATAGTAAATTCACTCAACACAATTAAAATGGTGTGAAATTACAAGCTGTCCTGTGAGCTTACAGATACAGAAAAAAATGTTATAAGGCTGCTGATATGAAGCTTGCAGTGGACAAGGTTGTTGTAAATGCTCAATGGCATGTTCATGGATTTCCTCAATAATATGGTACCATCAAGGGGGGTGACTTGGGCCACGTTTTTGATTTTGTTTTGCAAACAAAAGCGGGGTCATAAACAATGACCAAAGTCACTAGGGCGTTTATGACCTTGTTTACGACCCTGGCGTTTATGACCCCAGCATTTATGACCCCGTTTTTGTTTGCAAAATAAAATCAAAAACGTGGCCACAGTCACCCCAGTTGATGGTAATTAACGTTTATGGTAATATCATCAATAAAGGAAAAACAAGTAAAAATCACTGAAAATGTCATTTATTCTACCTCTACATCATCTACAATGAAAGAGGATCTTTTTTTGCTTCTGGCACCTTACGAATAGCATATAGAATTTTTTTGAAGATGCCATTCGATAGCCCTCGCAAAGATCTATAAAATGAGCCTAAACTTGTTTATGAAATGTTTCATGGTAAGAAGTTATTAACAAAAAACGCTCAAAACCATCCCGAGTAGCCCCGGTTGATGGTAATTAATCATTCTCTTGCTCTAAATATACGAATGATAGGCGATTAATCATATACCGTCAACCATGATCATTCCAGTAGATTGTGCACTGTGAATGAAGCTATTTCAGTTGCACGCTGGCTCTTGTGATAGGTAGTTCTGCTCCTCTGAATTGCGTGTTTAGTGTGCATCATGGAAAACTGCTTTGCAGCGTAGTTGTAATTACTTTATGAAGTCTAGTATACATTGTGGTCAACTTAAGAGACAAATGTTCAACTAGCTAATACTTTTATAAGTCTAATTTTAATTGTTAAGTGAAAGATGCATGCAAGCAACTTCCAAGTGATTACGTTATAGAAACTGAGCAAGTTATCGTTTGTGTTTTGAGCCTTTAAGAAGTTCATTTTTTACCTCAAATAATGTTGTTGGATCAAAAAACTTTTCCTGTTGGATCGGATATAATATATGAAGCATCAATTTTAACATATGAACCAAATTCCATCCTGCTGTTCCAATTTACCTTGCCCATCCCTTATTGCCCTGATTGATGATACTATCAAGTTTGCCCTGGAAATAGTTTTCAGTCACTGCTCTAGATTAATAGTTTAAAGTTTTCAATTATATCAAAGATCTTCTACAAAAGCTGATTTAAGATAATGTCAATGCTTGTGAGTTGTGACTTTGTCTGACCACAAATCAAAGGCATAGGTAATCAACTGCACCGAATTTCCCAAGAGGCTGAATGGGAAGGAACTAACTTCACAACTGGTCCAGATAAAGAACTATGCTGCAATTGGCTCTGTGATGTCCCTCAAAATGATCATCCCTAACACTCATCATGATCAGATAAGGTCAAGAAGAATATGGGAGTGGTTTTTCAGCGAAGCAAAGCTAGCATTTCTACCAGGACATCATGGTCTCTTAATGCCTTCACCACATAAAATATAACAAGAAAATAATAGGTAACCTAATTTGGGAATTGAATTCTTAATCTTCTTTATTATATAGTCAAAAAATTTTTAGAAAGACAGTATTTTAAATACTTCATCCCAGCCTATGGACATACCATCAAACAGGGTAAAAAAGGACAGTTTCAAGCATTTTTTGTTAATAACTTCTTACCATGAAAAATTTCATGAACAAGTTTGAGCTCATTTTAAAGGTTTTTGCAAGGGCTATCGTATGGCATCTCCAAAAAAATTTCATATGCTATTTGTAAGGTGCTAGACGCAATATAAAAGGCTCCTGAATTAATCTGTAAATGGGGTAAAAAGAGACACTTGAAATAAAACTCAATTTTAAACATTTGAAGCATACAGAGTGTACTCATCTATTACTAACAGTACTCTGAAGTCCTCCTCTTTCATTGTAGATGATGTAAATGTATAATAAATAAAATTTTCTGTGATTTTTTTACTTGGTTTTTCTTCATTGATATAATATTACCTTATCCATACATTACCGTATTATTAATGTGATTTTACTGTATCCATGGACATGCCATTGAGCATTGACAACGACCTTGTCTACTGCAAGCTTCATATCAGCAGCCATGTAGCATTTCTTCTGTATCTGTAAGCTTACAGGATGGTTTGTAATTTCGCACCATTTTAATCGAGTCAAGTAATTTCACTATAACAAAAAAGATTGTAAAGAACATACCTGAAACAGGAAGGAATATTTTAGTGACAACCATCATATTTTTTGGAGAAATAAATCATAGTTTAGGTTAATTGTTTTTCTTTCTTTGTTGCCCAGTGCTCAATTCTATGTATGACATTCTATGCACAATTTTGTGATGACTGATGCAGTAATTTTTTATTAAGTGAAATTTTTTCACTGAGGGAGGTAAATGTAATCAAAATTCTTTGTTGTTAGTTGATTTTTCCATTAACTGGAGCCTTTGTTACCAAGGTTCTACTGTAAATGCAATTTTAGGGGTGTCCCTTATTACCCCAGGGGGGTGTCCCTTAATACCCTTATTACCCCGTCTTGCGTAAATGACCACCATTTTTTCTTGGAATGAGATATGCAAATTCTGTCAATCACGTTTTTAAGCCAACACTAGTGTGCAACTTTTATGTAAGTAAAATTTTTCAATATGACAAATATTTTTTCTGCTACAGACCTTGGCATAGGTACTTCTCCAAAATCTTACTTTGCACACTTTTTTTCAGGGATTTTTTAGTGGTACCAGTATATAATAAAAGTATGATTTCTCAACTTGCTTTATGCTGCATAGGTACCGTCAACCAGGGCTACTTGGGACAATTCCGAACATTTTTCATTCACAACTTCTTACCATGAAACATTTCATAAACAAGTTTAGGCTCATTTCAAAGCTCTTTGCAAGGGCTATCACATGGTTTCTCCAAAAAAATTCCATATGCTATTCTTAAGGTGCCAGAAGCAAAAAAGAGTGTCCTGAGTAGCCCCGTTGAATGGGGCTACTTGGGACACTTGGAATAAAACTTCATTTTAAAACATTTGAAGCATGCAGAGTGTACTCATCCATTACTGTCAGTACTCTGAAGTCCTCCTCTTTCATTGTAGATGATGTAGAGGTAGAATAAATGACATTTTCTGTGATTTTTACTTGTTTTTCCTTTATTGATATGATATTACCATAAACATTAATTACTATCAACTGGGGTGACTTCAGCCGCATTTTTGATTTTGTTTTGCAAACAAAAACGGCGTCATAAACACCAGGGTCGTAAACAAGACCATAAACGCCAGAGTGACTTTGGCCATCGTTTATGACCCCGCTTTTGTTTGCAAAACAAAACCAAAAACACGGCCGAAGTCACCTGGCGGCCGAAGTCACCCCAGTTGACTGTACCATATTATTGATGCGATATTACTGTGTCCATGGACATGCCATTGAGCATTTACAACAACCTTGTCCACTGCAAGCTTCATATCAGCAGCCTTATAGCATTTTTGCTGTATCTGTAAGCTTACAAGACAGCTTGTAATTTCACACCATTTTAATTGGGTTAAGTGAATTTACTATAAAAAAATATAACTCAGTACTCACTGCAGTGAGTGACAGAGAGCGCATTTTCTTGTTGACAAAAACTTGAGGTCAATGACGGATGGACAGGCGGACGGACAGACAAGCAGATGGACATGACGAGCACAATAGTGCATTTTTTCCATAAATGAGAAAATGTGCTGAAAATATTGTAAAAAACATACCTGAAACAGAAAGGAATAGAGAAATAAATCATAGTTTAGGTCAATTACTTTTCATTCTCTGATGCCTGGTGCACAATTCTAAATATGACATTCTATGCACAATTTTGTGATGACCGATGATGCACTAATTTTTTTATAAGTGAACTTTTTTTTGCTCAACAAGGTAAATGTAATCAATATTCTTTGTTTTTAATCAATTTTTTTCTTAACTGGAGCCTTTGCTAACTGAGGTTCTACTGTAAATGCGCTTTTGGGGGTGTCCCGAATATCCCCGGGGGGGGTTTCCCGAGTAGCCCGCCGTGCGGAAATGACCGCCATTTTGTTTTTGGAATGAGATAGGCTAAATCTGTCAATTACGTTTTCAAGCCGACACCTGGGTGCAACTTTTATGCAAGTAAAATTTTTTAATACGGTAAATAAATTTTTTACTACAGACCTTAGCAGAAGTAACTTTTCAAAATATTGTTTTTCACCATTTTTTCAGGAATTTTTCAAAGCTAGTATATGTAGTATTTTTGAACTTCCTTTATAGGTACTGCATAATAGGAAAAATGTTTACGTTTATGCCACTATATTTAGTTTTGCAATATTCCAATTAGTTTTGATACTAAAACAGTTTTATGCCGTGTTGGAGGACTGTCCCAAGTTACCCTGCCCGTCCCTAGAAGCCCCGGTTGACGGTAGTAAAAATGTTGAACTTTACACCACTATTTTTAGTTTTGCAATATTTTGATTAGTTTAGCTGCTACAACATTTCTACAAAATGTTGGAGGACTGTCCCTCATTACCCCGCCCATCCCTTTTTACCCCATTTGACGGTATATTGTCTATATTAAGAGCTTATGAATGCAAACATTGTTAGTTTGTTCCAATCATGAGCAATTGGAATAAAAAACACGAAGAACCTGGGAACAGAAATTTTGTGCATATTGTGGTTCTTTGTTGTGTCTATCAGAATATCAATGGAATTAATGAATTCTAATTTTAACTAAGATCCACTAATCATTTGACTTTTGTCAACTCTTTTTTGACTGGCTCCATCAGCAATCTAGTTTGTTGTTGGCATCTTTTCAGGATTTCTCCAGAGTATTTGTTTTTGCAACATGGCCATGGAAAATTTTAATTAGCTTCATTGTATACATTGACTAATTTGAAATATTTATTTACAGAAATTGTTCATATTAATTATCATTTTTATACCAATGTTTTTGCCTGTATTGTATTGACAAAGGATCAAGATAGAAGTGTAGATAAGCATGGATTATGAATGGAAAGCCAAACTGAATGCAGAAAGAGCCAAAGTTGAGGATTTATTTGAATATGAAGGTTGTAAAGTTGGCCGAGGAACTTACGGCCATGTCTACAAAGCTAAGAGAAAAGATGGGTATGTGCCACCATTACTAATTATTTAAGGAATTCTTTAATGTTTTAACATTTTGAGACATTTTTGGATTCATTTGTTTCATGAAGTATTTATTCCTTCATAACCTGATCAAACTGACAAAATAATTTGTATTTTAACTTGCTCAAATATTTTTTTACTAGTTAAGTATTATACAAAAAGCCATTTATATCAACTCAGTTTTTCCTACTGCAGGTCTGACAACAAAGAGTATGCACTCAAGCAAATAGAAGGCTCAGGCTTGTCCATGTCAGCATGCAGAGAAATAGCTGTAAGTCTGGGCTACAAAAACAACTTCTAAATCATTCTGTATTATCAACTCTTGTTAGCTGTTTAGGCTTGCTTGGCCATACAATGATTTCCTGTAAGCTTATTTTTCAGATTTCCCTACATTATTCTGCCCTAACCTTGACCCAAGTTGCAGTTCACATCTCACTCTCAAGTGCAGTCAAATGATAATGAATTAAAATATGTACTCTGACATGCTCAAAGTGGACCTTCCTTCCATTGATAATTTTTTATCTGCATTGAAAACATGGGTAGGTTTTGTAGGAAAACTGTTGTCTGTTTGCCAGTTTATTAGGAAAATTTAGAGAATTTGATAATTTTTTTGAATCAGTGTGGCTAAGGTTTATGTGATGTGATTTACTTTAAGCCCCTGTTGGTGAATAATCTCTAATTTATTATTTATATTTCATGTGCACATTTATTATAAATTAATTCGTTGGAAATTGAATCTATGAGATAAAGAATGATATGATGTTTAATTATGGCTATTAGTATATTTACTTCAACTCAACTTTGTCGTGAAATCCTCATCATATATTTTTTAAATCAATGAGTGATAATAAATATATCTTAATTGAAGCATATAAAAAAACCTTTAATAAATAGTCATTCTAATAAATAGTCATTCATTTGATGAAATATCTTTCACCCCTTGGTCTAGGCCATTAATTAAATGTTTGTTTTTATTTGCAGTTACTACGAGAACTGAAGCATCCTAATGTAATAAACCTTCAACGAGTCTTCCTCTCACATTCTGATCGAAAAGTCTGGCTGCTTTTTGACTACGCAGAGCACGACTTGTGTCTTATACACATCTANGCTTTGTGACTTGTGGGTGAGTGAGAGGCTTTATGACTTGTGGGTGAGTGAGAAGTCTTTTCCAATCTTTTGATGTTCAATTGAACTGTGAATGACTGCTATATATAATAAAGTAGTTGAATATTAATCTATTGGTCAATAAATAATCATTGGGATTATATATTATTTTTTATTATTTTTACCAAATGCCAGATGTTCGGATCACTGATCACAAAAGTTTTGCTAATTTTGTTTCATCAATAAATAGCGCTGTGATTGTTGTGAATATTTTAATTACTGAAGTAATATTTTGGATACTGCAACCTAGACAATTTTTTCACCTTGTGTCTCAATGTGTCATTTATTTATGAGCCTTCCTCTCTTATGTCACAGCATATAATTAAGTTTAACCGAGCTGCGAAGGCAAACAAACGCACAGTCCCTGTGCCTAAAGGAACTGTCAAGAGTTTGCTCTACCAGATCTTAGACGGCATCAGATACCTGCACTCTAACTGGGTGCTGCACAGAGACCTGGTGAGTGACTCTGTGTGCTGCACAGAGACCTGGTGAGTGACTGTGTGTGCTGCACAGAGACCTGGTGAGTGACTCTGTGTGCTGCACAGAGACCTGGTGAGTGACTCTGTGTGCTGCACAGAGACCTGGTGAGTGACTCTGACTGGGTGCGGCACAGAGACCTGCTGTATGTACCGTATATGTGCTGCTAGCTTGCATGCACACTTGGCTAATATTTTAACTAATTTTGTTCCCATGTGACAGTGGACTATTTCAATTGATAGAGCTACACAAATAAGATTTCGTTATTAAAAATTATTATTCATTAAAAATCTGAGTGCCTACTAAATTATTTGTGACTTATTTTATACAATAAGATGATATTGGCTTGGAATTCTTCTTATACACTAAAATTTCTTTTGTTTTCAAGTTGCGTAGATTGATATATTGCGACTAAAGTTTGAACTAAAAAAGCAACAAATTATTCAATACTAGTACAAGTATATATGGTTAGGTCTTCAGTTTGTCAATACTGGTACAAGTATATATGGTTAGGTCTTCAATTTGTCAATACTAGTACAAGTATATATGGTTAGGTCTTCAATTTGTCAATACTAGTACAATTATATATGGTTAGGTCTTCAGTTTGTCAATACTAGTACAAGTATATATGGTTAGGTCTTCAGTTTGTCAATACTAGTACAAGTATATATGGTTAGGTCTTCAATTTGTCAATACTAGTACAAGTATTTATGGTCAAGGTCCTAAATTTTTCACATCATCACTCAAGCTTTCTTGAAATCACAGTTTGCAAGCTCGAGTTCATTACTTTTCAACGTGTGAGTCTCAGTAATGCCCATAATGACATTTCTATCATATATAATAAAGATAATTGAAGCTTAACCCTTGTCAAAGTGCATAATTTAAATACGATATAATATACTCTGTTTAAGAACAGTTTTACCTAATGCAATCTTATACAGCTAAAGGAGGTTGTCACGAGACATAAATAACTTCAATAAATTAAATGTTATCCCAGTCGTGTATCCTACAAATTCTGCCAGTCTCTTGTTACTGCAAACCCTGCCAAACTTGCACACACGTCAGACATAGCAACTTGAGAACAAGTATACATATCTTTGTTATCAATCTAAAGATAAGCTATTAATGTTGCAGAGAACAAGCATACACGTCTTTGTTATCACTCTAAAGATATTATTAATGTTGTAGAAGCCTGCCAACATCCTGGTGATGGGTGAAGGCGTCATGCGGGGGCGCGTTAAGATCGCAGACATGGGCTTCGCTCGTCTCTTCAACTCGCCCCTTAAGCCGCTGGCAGACCTCGACCCTGTCGTGGTTACCTTCTGGTACCGCGCCCCTGAACTGCTGCTCGGCGCCCGGCACTACACCAAGGCTATTGGTCATTACCTGCTTTGTATAACTCACAGCTATTGGTCATTACCTGCTTTGTATAACTCACAGCTATTGGTCATTACCTTCATCTTTGTATAACTCACAGCTATTGGTCATTACCTGCTTTGTATAACTCACAGCTATTGGTCATTACCTTCATCTTTGTATAACTCACAGCTATTGGTCATTACCTTCATCTTTGTATAACTCACAGCTATTGGTCATTACCTCCATCTTTGTACAACTGAATGTTATGAAGTATCAGTGCTTTTACTCTATGATGCTCATATCGCTATAATGTGTTGCTTTTTTCATTCATATCCCATTATTGCTGTCAATACTCCACTTTGTGATGTTGCCGTCACTATTCTGATGTTAATGTAAAAGTCTTTCCCTCTGAAAAAACAACCATTGCTATCTGAACTGCAATTGCTTTTTTTATTGAGTGTATGTGGCCTTCCTCGTTTGGCTTAATGTGTGCCGTTGCTATAAAGTATATTGTACAATTTTTGTGTGTATAAATATTTAGAAGGTCTGCTATCAGCTTGCATTTTCCATGAATGTTAATTTATGTCCTCAAGGTCCAACTGTTCATTTAATTAGCATTAATGCGGTCTTTCATTCATAATAACACTTAGTTTATCCACATAAATATGAATTTTATACAGCAAAATTTCCTACTTCTTTACTCACAATTTTCTATGCTCAAGTTTATTGAAATGACAAACTTTGGCCATTGTAAGCAGAAGTGAAAGAGTGCTACCACGTGCAGATATATGGGCGATTGGTTGCATTTTTGCCGAGTTGCTGACATCGGAACCAATCTTCCACTGTCGGCAAGAAGACATAAAGACAAGCAACCCATACCACCATGACCAGCTAGACAGGTAGGCCTCTTTGCTCTCTAGTTCAACATGACCCTGCAATGTTTCTATATCATAACATTTATTCTAGTTTTCCTAGATTTGAACTTGAATAAATAAATTCAGTTATTTAAGATAAGTCAGGCTTCTTTTTTTGGGATATTCGGTTCTCTCTTTAACGGTAGCCAGTCCGTCAATGCCAACATGTTCTATGTTAAGTTTTATTCTATGGCGACCTCTCACATTTTGATATACTTCAAGGATGAAGGCTGCATTCTAATAATACGACATTATATATTTTGATGCCCCGTCAGCCGTGCCAAGTCTAACCTCTTATGCCTTCCTTTTGTTTCAATAAAGCTATCTACTTAACTTTTCTTACAACTTTGATATTAATTTCAGTTAATTACTAAAGCTCTACTGGCTGGAACAGTCACACAATTGTCTTCCCAACTGTCCCAATTGTCAATTGGAAAGACAATTCGACTGTCCCAATTGTCAATTGGGACAGTCACGAATTTTTAAGCTTAATGTTACTGACATTTCCCCCGCCAGGATATTCAACGTGATGGGGTTCCCGCAGGAGAAGGACTGGGTGGACATCAAGAAGATGCCTGAGCACGGCACTCTCATGAAGGACTTCAAAAAGAACAAGTCCGTTAACTAACCTTTCAGTGATCTATTTCAGTAGTTTTGTTTTTTATTTTCAAGTTGAAATAATATTTATGAGCCCAAATTTTGTTAAGTTACTATCCAATAAACTGTAGATTTTACTATTTTTCTTTCAAGTAGGTAAAACTAAAGAATATTAATGAAGAATTTCTTCATAATAATGAACAATTTCTTGATATTAATGAAAAATTTCTTGATATTAATGAAAAATTTCTTGATATTAATGAAAAATTTCTTCATATTAATGAACAATTTCTAATATATAAATGAAGAATTTCTTCATATTAATGAACAATTTCTAATATATAAATGAAGAATTTCTTGATATTAATGAACAATTTCTTCATTTAATGAAGAATTTCTTGATATTAATGAAGAATCTTGCCTGCCGGCAGCTACACGAACTGCTCGCTCATCAAGTACATGGACCGCCACAAGATCAAGCCTGACAGCAAGGCTTTCTTGCTGGTGAGTTGCCAGCAAAAATGTTGACCATTAAATGAAATAATATAATTGTCAAGGGATATGTTATACATACAAGCAGGCTTAATTAAATTGTAGTAATTCATGAATTAATTGTTTGTTAATATTTGATGTAAATGAGCAAAATTATTACAGCTCCAGAAGCTGCTGACGATGGACCCCACGAAGCGCATCACCTCAGAGCAAGCCATGCAGGACCTCTACTTCCAGGAGGAACCTCCGCACACCTTAGAGTGAGCCCCTCTGTAGAGCCCCTCTGTAGCTGCCCCTCTGTAGAGCACCTCTGTAGCTGCCTCTCTGTAGAGCATCTCTGTAGAGCATCTCTGTAGAGTACCTCTGTAGAGCCTGTCTCTTATACACATCTAGATGTGTATAAGAGACAGGTATATATGGTTAGGTCTTCAATTTGTCAATACTAGTACAAGTATATATGGTTAGGTCTTCAATTTGTCAATACTGGTACAAGTATATATNGAGCACCTCTGTAGAGTCCTGCACCTCTGTAGCTGCACCTCTGTAGAGTCCTGCACCTCTGTAGCTGCACCTCTGTAGAGCACCTCTGTAGAGTCCTGCACTCAATCGGTTTTAATTAGTTTTTACATGTAGACTGTACCGTCAACTGGGGTGACTTCGGCCAATGTTTATTATTTTCTTTTGCTTCCATTTGTTTTTGTTGTAGTGGTGGCCGAAGTCACCCCAGTTGACGGTAGCCATTTTTTTCTATTGTATTGTCGCAGCAGCCATGAACTATCGTGTTTTTGCTCCCGAAAAAAAAGTATTTACGCCAGTTTTTGTTAAAGAGTCAAACTTTGTGCATGGCGGCGTCTACATTTGTCTGTTATATGACCGCTCTTCGCCCATATCTGAATACAGCAGCTAGTCGTCTCAGCCCACTGGCACAGTCCCCTTTACAGCGCTCGTCTTTGCATAAGTTTGCTTCAGTGTCGCAAAATGTGCTTTTCTATGGAACATTTCTATCGTTCTATGGTGCGCATTTAATGTGTGTCTGTTCGTCCTCTGAGTTCATCTTAATCTACGTATTTAATTGATTCATATCGGGTCGCATAAAATGTCATTAAATTTCTTGACCACTTTTTCCCTAATAAAGCTTGAGCTTCTCTCATTTTGTCCAGTAATTGACCCACTTTTCAGCCCGTGCTTAACCTAGTCATCTTTACACATAACTCTCTAGGCGATTTAAATGCATATATGTTCCGTACAGTTTGTTCTTCGCGTACATTAATTTATTACATTTCGCTTGCTCACTTCTCATAAGACGGAATTAACTCGTATTTTATAGTTTATAATTGTTTAATTATAGTTTGTTTACAATAGAGACTGCCAAAGCTGTTGAATATTAACGCGCGTTGCCTCGCCCCTCAGCGTCTTCGCCGGCGGTCAAATCCCGTACCCCAAGCGGGAGTTCTTATCAGACGAGGAGCAGGACGATAAGAGCGATAAGGTGAGACTGTGACGTCAGACGAGGAGCAGGACGATAAGAGCGATAAGGTGAGACTGTCACGTCAGACGAGGAGCNAAATCCCGAGCCCCAAGCGGGAGTTCTTATCAGACGAGGAGCAGGACGATAAGAGCGATAAGGTGAGACTGTGACGTCAGACGAGGAGCAGGACGATAAGAGCGATAAGGTGAGACTGTCACGTCAGACGAGGAGCAGGACGATAAGAGCGATAAGGTGAGACTGTCATTGTCAACGTTGTTGAAATTACGCGTTTCTTTAGCTTCTTTTCTTCTTGGACGGTATTTATTCGTATTCATTAGCTTCTTATTAGTCTTTTAATGTGGAGCGAGTGCGAAATATCTTGTAGCATTCTATGCCATGGCAGGAATAATATATTCAATGTAATAGTTTTAATATAGTTAATATAATACATTATATGTAATATATGGTATAATAGTGTTGCCATCGCTAATTACTTTCATCCCTCATATCTTCCACAACTCGCGCCTCGGGAGGCTTTTATATCACAACCTTAAACTGGTACTGCACTACCGCCGTGTGAAGTTAGGCGGCAGTGTCGTGGTGGATGCAGTCCTGGTGGATGCGAGATGAGGGATGCAGTCCTGGTGGATGCAGCAGCGGTGGATGCGAGATGATGGATGCACTAAGCTTGTCTCCCTGAGCAGCGCGGCAGTAAGCCTGGGGCGGCGAGCTCGAGCAGCGCTGGGGACCACGGCCCCCACGGCCCCGCGGCCAAGAGAGTGCGTCTGGGGCCCCACCAGGGCCAGGGCGGGGGCCAGGGGGGCGGTCAGGGCCAGAACTCTGGCGTGTCCATGGCCCAGCAGCAACAACAACAACAACAAGAGTTCCAGCAACATATGTCACAGCGGAACCATCATCAGCAGCAGCAACAACAACACCAACAGCAACAACAGCAGCAACAACAACAAAGACAAATGCAAGCAAATAGGGTATGTTTTTATTTTAGTTTCATTCTAAGATTTATCCTTGTTTTTAACCGATTTTATATGTTGGGCCTAAAGGAATGAATTTATTTAACATTGTAAACTCGGGCTTTCATGTTAATTTGCTTGCTCTCCGCGCGACTTCATTCCTTCGCTTTGTGTTCCGCCTATAACGGTCGATCCTGCTGTGTGCTGTCCTTGGCAGGTTTCGTCCGCAGTCTTATCCATAATTTCTTGGCAGGGAGGTTATTTTTCCTCTTTATTCTTAAGTTATTCTTAAGTTATCATATTATTATCGTATGATAAAGTGTTATTATGATATTATTATTATCATGTTATCATCGTGTGATAAAGTGTTCTGTTACTCAGCATGGCGGCAGCGGCGGCGGTCACGTACAGACGCAGGGCGGCATGATGAACTACGGGACGAACGGTGCACAGCAACAGAACTTCCAGCACCGATACTGAGCCTCATCAGTGACTGTAATGCCTGCAGCAGAACTTCCAGCACCGATACTGAGCCTCATCAGTACAGACCTGCCATGTATGGCCGCCTCGTGTGCACAGACCTGCCATGTATGGCCGCCTCGTGTGCACAGACCTGCCATGTATGGCCGCCTCGTGTGTACAGACCTGCCATGTATGGCCGCTTGTCTCTCCCCTCTCTCTCCAACAGTTCTGTGCCAGTCTCCATGCAGTTTAGTGCATCTCCCAGCTCGGGATTAATCTTAATTAATGTCGTGAAGATGCAAAAAGTCAGGGATTATCATCTTAATTGGAGACAATCCATGAGTTAATTAATTGTCTCCGTGATGTGGATTGTCTCCTTTCCCATTGCGTCGTACTGATGCTTACAAACACTCAGTACGTACAGGAGTTCGTAGTGCTTGGGGGTTGAGCTCAATTAGTTTAGCTTCAATAAATTGAAGGTCGTTTGAAGTTTTCCATTCGCTTGTGGTGCAGCTCCCACTTGTGCGCTGGATGATCAAGAGTAGTCTTGTGTTATGTGAAAAATTTGAATGAGCATTGAGAGTACGAATTATTTTATGAAACTCATTTTAGATTAATATCAGAGGGATTAATGTGAGGGATGCGTTCTTTAAGACGAGCCAACGCCTCACCCGCGCCTGTGGGTCAACGTGGAACATTTCGAGTGCAGGACACCAAAGCTTTTGACCGGGCGACGCGGTATAATTCAAGTGGACGGGCCAAGACGAATATCGCTCGTCTGTGCTCGGAATAAATGGTATTGTAATGGCGAATATTCCGTGATTTTTGTGTGGACGAAGTCAAGTTTTTGTTCTGCCAAAAATCGGCCAGTTTTTTATGCCCTTGATCGCTGAGGAAATTTTCATTGTCAAGTTCCACTAGATCGTTCTCGGGATAAAATGTTTTTAACAATCAAATAAGCCAAAAAAATTTAAATCGATTACTAATAAAGATTAATTGATATTAACGGGTAGAACTGATAATAGCAAAATAAATTTTTATTGCGGACAAGCATAGGAATTTTAAGCTGTTCGCTCGTACAATTTCCCCTTGAACGGAATTCGCTCATTGGATTACAATTTTTGTGACGTTTATTCATTTGGTCACATTAAAAAACTCCTGTCTCTATGCATGAAGAATATTGTCATTGAGAGTGGAGGTCGTGAAGAATATAGCACTAATTTGATGACATTCTATTAGGTCTCGTTCACTAGTACGGGTTAATGATGTCAGTAAAATACAGTATCCATTTGCCATTGTTCCCTCTCACTGATGACACTCTGGTCTGTGCTGCGTCGCTCCACGCTGCACTCGCGGGTCAGGACGAGTGAGAGCCACGCCGGTCAGTCCTGCTGCAGTCTCTTCGTTAAAATCTTAGCAGACTTAACATGTCTGCCTTCCATTAACAGTTATTCAATGTTACTGTAAAAAATGAATTTGAATTTAATTGAGGCAAGATTTTCTCATCTCACTTTGTATTTATTGCATAAAACAAGACAATTGCAATGTCGTGGCGCACATTCAACTTTGACGTTGAGCTTCCGTGACATTACCAATCCGATACTTGAAGTCTTTTCGTCATTCTTAAGGAACGAAATTGTATAAATAATAACAGCTTGGGTACTTGAATAATTTTATATTAATGATTGCACGAAATGAAGATGAAATTTTGTTAATTATAAAGACTGGTTTGTTGTGGTTGCGGTAGAAGAAGAGGCGTGCGAGGACGTTTATATCAGGAAACGTGCTACTCTTGCCACGGCGCTCCTAGCATAGAATACATTTAGTAAGTAATCTTGTACAGTGTGTATAAATGAACCAGCTTTATGTGCTCTCTATTTAGAAGGACAAATATGTCTTTGTAACGCTATGGGCAAGCCTGCAGAAATAAGCATTCAGAATTGTTTGGTTCCCTTTTTTAGCACATCAGAACTTCAAGCTAAAATTTCCACTTGAAAACGAATTCGTTTCGCCTGTGTTACTATTCATTGATAGTTCTGGTGTTTTAGCTGCTTGAAGTGCCAGTTTGTTGTCCGATGTAGCAGAGGGAGCCTTGTTGCGGAACTTTTTGGTGTTACTCAAATTTGTCAGAACTCTAATTGCAATTCAAATTTATTTAATACTTTTTTTATTGTTTAACTTGACTATTTACACGATTTCTTAGCATTGTCAGCTCCTCAAAAAATTTTGTACCTTAATTTTTCGTGAAGCAAATTAAAAAATCTCTTTTTATTGATTTTTACCTCTACCCATAAACTGGATACTCGCGCAAGTACGAAATTCTTCTCAATTGACGGCGCGAAGAGAGCGCTGTTTGAGGGCGGCCGCCAACGATGGTCGTCGTTTCTCCCTAACCATATATTGTGCGGCCAGCAGCAACTTTTAAACGAAGCGTCGTGGCAAACCATTACAAGTTAAATAAATTTCTGTCATTCCCTATATTTCTTCTAAAAAATAATCGGTTATTCATGTAAGAAAAATCGGTGACTACGTTTTCAGTTTTATAAGCATAGCATTTTCGGCGTTGAAGAAATAGGCCTTTAGCAGATTCTTGTACTTTTCGCGGCTTGTTCACAGATCTAAAAACTTGGCTCTTGACAAGATCTATTCAACTTACGTGATCGTTTATGATCCAGATCGCGGGCCTATATTTATCTGGAAAATTCAACAATTAGGCGCATGGAAGTATATGTTCTTCCAAAGGATTTAAGCTCGCCGTTCCTATGCCTTGCGGAAAACCACTAGGAAGAGCACCCCCCCCTCGCTTGTGGTGCGCGTTAAAGTGTTAAGTTGTCTGTGGTGCGCACCCCCATACATACCATCCATATCATACCGTCAAAACATACCATGGGGGCGGCGTAGTTCCGACCAGGTCAGAGGACGTGGAAGGCTGGTCGGGAGGAAGGCGAGGTGACAAAGAAGGGAGGAAGCAAGACGGATGATGGAGGGGCTCGAGGAGACTTGTAGAATGCAGAGAAAAAGCACAACAAATTAACTAGAAAGGTTCAGGCAGGAGCACAGAATCAAGGCTTCGATCTTACAGGCCAGCAGAGCGCACGCCCGTAATGACGCGGACTTCAGCCGCGTTGCGTGCGATAACCGCCAGAAATGCGGACAGTTGCGCGGGCCGGAGTGCGCTCACGACGCGGAAAATAAAGAGGGCATCCAGTTGTTCGTAGGCAGGATACCCTGCTCTTCCCTTCCCTTCTATGCTCTTCCCTTCCCTTTCACCGCTCTTTCCTTCCCTGCCCTTCGTGCGCGAGGCCGACATTTCGCGTGACCTACGCGAGTGTCTGTCACAGTCGCTAGAGCATCTGACGCTATTCGCTAGTTACGCTGTATATAAGTTCTTTTAACGATCAAGCATGAATAGCTCGCGTTGGTATCACTGTGATCTACCAAGATATTTTCAAGACTTTTCGAGCTCCTACGGCAATAGGAATTAAAATCATTAGCTGGAATCCATAAGAATTGAATTCGTTCGCCATCTCAAGGCAGAGTTGATGTGACATTGCCGTGAGCCGCACGCACCAAGTCAACACGGATCTATTCTAATCGGTGAAGGATTGCAATTAAAATTTTCGATTGATCCGGAAGTCTAGTAGTTTCAATTAAAAATATATTAAGTGCCTCACATCGAGCAGATTGGTCCCACATGCCCTGAAAAGACGCTCCTAAAAAATTCAGGAGCGTTCATTCATAAAGTTCTACAGCACCGTTTAAACTACGGTGGGAAACGATAGTACCGAAGGTCGCATAGGTTTTTCCTCATTATACCCGTAACTTCTATCTAGAGTCGAAATGGAAAGAAATTTATTTCACTACACTTCTTTACTTCTACTCGTCATCGCTTTGAGCATTCTTGTCTCAAACCATAAACACAATTTAAACCAATACACGAATCAACTACGCTGAGTGATGGCACTCGTTTTCTTCAGGTTCAACAATAGTCTAAGTAGGAAGAACTTTAATACAGTAACTCAACACAGGAGATCATACATTATGTGTAGGGTTCTTGCTCCTAAAAATGTCAATGAAATCACAGATAAAACAAGAACTTCACTCACAACGGCGCTTCTGCATTAGGTTCACATGAGCAATAACAACATAGCAGCGAGTGTTAGGAACAAAGGTTCACTTCTGCATCAACAAAGAAGCCATTCCATACCAAAAATTGCAATTAAAATATTGCCAACGCCGCGCAAAATCTCCATTACCACGAATGTCCTCAGATTCCCGACACATGAGAGACTGTAACCTCGGACTGCCGACGCGCTGAAATGTGCATTTTTTGTATGTAAGAAAAATATAAGCCTCCAGAGCCTAAGCCGCCCAACGCCCTCGCGTTTTCCTCAATACGCGACAGCATCCAACAACGCGAAGGAACTTCACGCTTGGCACACAACGCAACGTGAGTGCTGCACCACGGAGACAAGTTCAACTTACTTCATCACTGAGGAAGAGATCTCGAAAACTAACCAAGCCACAACTGACCACATGCATAGCAATGCCTCGTATTAAGCAAGAAAAATTCTTATTCAAAGACTAGCAAAGACGACTGCAACAAGAATGCATTTGTTTTAACAGGCTTCACTTATAAGCCGGACATTGTATAGGTTCTATTATAAGAAATTGGCTTCGATGTGGTTACAGTAAATAGCAATAACAACGCTAATAATAAATAGTGATATGTAAACAGGTATCCATCAAATGCGCAGTAATTCAGGCTGATCAAACACTCATTCAACGGAATGTGTTCATTTGTCCAAGTGCCTCATATCAAAATGAGGATAACGAAATTCATTTGCCAGTATAATGCGACAACTGAACGTCTGCATGCCTAGTATAATGCGACAACTGAATGTCTGCATGCCAGTATAATGCGACAACTGAATGTCTGCATGCCAGTATAATGCGACAACTGAACGTCTGCATGCATGCCAGTATAATGCGACCGAACCGCAAACCGATTGGGACAAAACCAAAATATTCAATTCCAATTTGCTTAGGGACTTATGCGAAGTTAAAATTAACATTAAGGGAGAAGTGAGAGTGAAAACATCCTTAGTCGTGAACGAATGTACGGTGTAGGCATTGTTGTACATTGAACGAGACCATTGCTCATCAACTCGTTCAAGCGACTGTACCCAATCTTAATCACGCGTCATTTTGCCACAAAAGAAGTTTACGAGTTAACATCACAATCACATAGAGGACAACGCGAGATTATTTATAAACGAGTTCAATTTTCATTTCCTGATCTAGTTCAAAATTTTATTCAATATTTGACAGATCTCATCAACAACAACTCTTGTTGGTCATCCTCGTATCGATGTGGTACCAGACATCGCCTATTGCATTACCGCTCTTAGTGATGCAATAGGCGTGTGTGATGATGTGTGATGTTGAACGCAATAGTAAAGGATATAAATCCATTCAAGATGCAATCTAGCAGATGATACTAAAACCAAATACCCAAGCCAAAAACAGAAGTATAAACTTAAAAATCTAAAAATTTTAAATAGGATAACGCGTTTCAGCTCTATTTTGATAAATAATGTTTAAATTGAAAAATATATCACTTGGTTGACCCTTTTCAAAGCAAAAAACTGAAGAAACTCAATAAAAGCTACGACAAGAGCACACACGCATCAGAGATTTGGTGCGAGTTACGCTCTAATATGAGGCAGGGTGAGGCAGCTCCTCCCTCTAATATGAGGCAGGGTGAGGCAGCTCCTGCCTCTAATATGAGGCAGGGTGAGGCAGCTCCTGCCTCTAATATGAGGCAGGGTGAGGCAGCTCCTGCCTCTAATATGAGGCAGGGTGAGGCAGCTTTACTATCTATGGGCTGAGCTTTGCTTCTAAAGTAATAAACGCAGACATTAAACAAAAGCAATTAACTTCAACCCTGCATGAAAAATTAAAGGAATATACCTACGAAAAAAATACTTATGAGCCCTATTCTAGAGACGACTTTTTGAATGAGTATTTAACATCAGGAACAATAGCAAACAAATTCATGGACCTAAAACCATTATGATGTACAGGGTGACACAAAAAAAACAGAGCTCATAAAAAGTTGAATAATTTCCACAATACTCAAGTAATCCTGTTTTTTGTTTCAGATTCATTAATGTGGTATAGAATTGAGATTTTGCAGATGTTGGCTACATAGGTTGTACATAATTCCATAGAATTTTTGTTTCAAACTGAATAAAATTTCAGGAGTTATAAGACTTTTAGTGAGCTCTGTTTTTTTTGTGTCACCCTGTACTAAACACTTATAGGTCGTAATAATAAGGGACGTTAACCAAACGAAGAAACTTTATTGCGTGCCATACATTGTCAATTCAGTTCATTTTTCTCCTGCGCAACCTCAGTCACTTTGGTCCACTGAAAGCAATACGAACACAATTCAAATTTAAAGAAGTTTACATTTGAACTACGCAGGTGGAATGCCTGACATCTTCTGGGGCGAGAAGCTCAAACTGCACCTAGAAAATAATTCGCCTGCAATAATGCAGTGAACGCGACCTGCAGCAGCAGCGACTATGCGAAGCTATAAACTACAAAACCTGCATGAAATTGTCTCGAGCCTGCCGAACAAAGTTTGCTTTTTTGGGAAATTGGAAGACACAACAGCGGCAGGAATATTATATTTTAACTTTCCCTTCTCCTGCAAGAGCTGTTGTAAAAATGACTTAGAGACGCCCAAGAGCAAGGTGGCCGCGATGTAAATAAAATACTGAGCTTAAGTTATACTATTGTCCTTACTGCCTAGCGTATAGAATCTCGGGAAGATCTGCGTGTAAAGCCACCTGAGTGTAGATGATGTACAGGAACACATAGAACTGCAGAGCGCCGTGCAGTAATTCACAGCATTGCAGCACCACGACACCACGCAGCATCTCGGCCAGAGCCACTCTCTGCACGACAGAGCGCCCCTCACACCACACGCAACACTCCCCACACTCGCACACGCCCAGCAGTAGAACGTGTGGGCAAACTGTCGTGCCTGAGTGACGGGGAAACTTGGCAACCCGCGGTAAATGTGGCCGAAACTTTCGTTGAGCGAGACGAGCGCGTTGGACATGGCGAGTTTTGCGTAGCTGCCCGCTGACTGCAAGGCAGCTATCGGGGACCAATAGGAAGCGTTGTTGTATCCAAACATGAGGTAGCTTCTTGCCCAGTTGGAATACTCGGAGCAAAACTGCCACGACCATGACGACAAACTATTTGTGTACGAAACGATGGCCTCGACAGCATTAATGTATACAATTTTCGCGGTAGATACTGCGTCAGTGAGCCAAGAAGAAGCGTTAGAAATGAGAAGTGAAGTAGCAGCGGCATAATTGTCCAGCGCGGCAGCAACGGAAGTTTGAGCAACCGAACTCTGGAGCAGATCTCGAGTGGTGCGGGAGTGGACGCAAGATGAAGCGGCGCTGGAGATTGACTCCATGGAGCTGGAGACTTGCGTGGACATGGAGACGATCTCAGCGCCGCTGCTGTTCTTGATGTGGTCCGCTAGGATGAAGGTGAGCACCGAGCCAAGAGCGAACAGCGCCGGCGACACCGAAGCCAGAAGCCGACGCTCGAACTCTGCAAGAGGGAATAAGCTTAATGTTCTGAACAGTTAACTTAGAATAAGCTTAATGATCTGAACAGTTAACTTAGAATAAGCTTAATGATCTGAACAGTTAACTTAGAATAAGCTTAATGATCTGAACAGTTAACTTCGAATAAGCTTAATGTTCTGAACAGTTAACTTGGAATAAGCTTAATGTTCTGAACAGTTAACTTCGAATAAGCTTAATGATCTTAACAGTTAACTTGGAATAAGCTTAATGATCTGAACAGTTAACTTGGAATAAGCTTAATGATCTGAACAGTTAACTTGGAATAAGCTTAATGTTCTGAACAGTTAACTTGGAATAAGCTTAATGATCTGAACAGTTAACTTCTTTCATGTAGCGTGTCCGAACGAAAGTCCAGTAGACAGCACCGAAGGAAAATTCGTTAAATAGAATTCCCTCTTCGGCGAGCAATTTTACCACATAACTTACGTACGTACATTCTAGATTGTTCGTCAATGCCCAACTACTTAGAATGTAAGCTAAGACTACATAAATATAAATATTAAACTAAAAAACCTAACACTGAGAATCTATAATTATTTAGTGAAAATATCTGATCGCACAAAACAATTTCAGAACAAACTTTCATCTGACAAGCTAACTCGTCCATGTGTTCCTTTCATGACCGAACGAAGAAGCAATATCTAAATGATGAAACTTGTTTACTTTAACATTAATGCGGCATAAAGAAGCAACATCAGCATGGGCTGCGAGGTGCTTGAGACGCTTCATCATACAATCATTCAGTCATCCCTCGCAGAGTAAGAACAAGAACGCTGATTTGTCACACACTTCGCAGGCCATGATCGCAACTATCAACAACTTCATCGGGAGGCAGGAAGCGACAGTAATAAATAAGATAGGTGATAAAGCAAACGAGTGATGAACACCGATACTCCCGTCAGCAACCTAGCTGAGGACGTAGAAAAGCAGAGAGAGAAGAACCTGCAAGTAAGAATATTGAGGTATAAAATAAAGGTTTAGGAGAATATATAGCCGATCAAATAAAATCTAAAAGCTAAGTAAATGCAGCGTTGGTACATTAGATGAGGCGAAAGGGACAAAGGAATCAACAGGAATATGGTTTGTTGCAGAGTGAAGTCTTGGAGTGATGCAGGTGAATGCTGCAAAGCTACAGGTCGCTCTCATTTCATCGGTAATTCAACTCATGATATGAACGCTTCTTCGTAGATTTGGTATGTTTATTTTAAACCATAAACAAAACGTGACAGGCTCACGGATAAAAATCTACATATATTAAATCAGAAACAGAACTAGGACAAATCATCAACGAAATAACGGCTTATTAAGATGAGGGCAATTCAGAGGCAATGTTTTGAGCGGCACCTGGCGATCTAAGGTACTATGTAATTGATGACAGTGGAGGAGCATCAACCTAACAGCCTGAATACGAGCATTGCAAAGAAGTATTTAATGAGGAAAACATTCATCGATCCTGCTGATTTAAGCGAATCAAAACCTACTGACGCGACGCATCAGCCTATAGGCATCCAGCAGCTATTAGCTTCATGTTGCTATACTACTCAGTGCAGAGCTTAACTCGCTATACTTGCTCGCTCTCTACCTCAGGAGCATTTCTACACATCGAAAGGCTGCCGTCTCATCAATACAAAGAAATACTGAGGCAGTGTAACTGGGGGTTGGTCTAAAAAGTCTCATCGTTTCATAAGTATTATTTAGTGTAGCAAGTGAACCATTCTCGAGTAAACTAAGCAAATAAGGAATTACACGCATTTCACGTAATACTAAAAAGTAAGGCAAGCACAGCAGCTCGACCAAGCAGCGAGCTCTGCTTGTTGTTTCAGCATTGGTTCTTACTGAGCTTGGCAAGTCTGTTCAGCGCGAAGACTATCTTAGGTCAGGACTACAGTTTCGTCAGTCTGGTGTTCGCGTAAAAATTACAGAATGCATGAAGTTTCAAACGAACGGCAAAAATGAAAAAATTCTAGTATTTTGCAATAGTTAGGAATAATTATAAATGCATTGATATGCCAGGCTACATTCTAGGGTAGCTTCTGTAAGGATTTATGTCAGGGTTCCTCCACTTCGAGGCAATTCATTGATACGGCTGAAAAATTTTACAAACTTACCTCGGTCAATGATTCGCCGCCAAATGTTCACTCATCGCCAGCGTTCGTTGTGGCAAGAACTTTTATTTACTCGATACTAATAAGCGTGGGTAAGGAGAATCAACTGAACTGCTGTTAGTTCATTAGTATGGTGGCTGGGTATTGAACTAAATTAAAATATACAAATCAATAGATTAAGTGAATCTGCGCATTTCATTTCTCTTACTGAGTACATAAATGACTTGCACGTAAATTAGGTTCTATTAATAAGAAAGGATGAGGTTGGTTTTAGGAGGTATAAATAATGAGAGGGTGAAACCAGGGAGACACCGTTTGAATGCAGCGCATTCGTTGCTGCCCAAACTAAAATTCAAAATAGCGGCGGAAAAGAACAAAACACAAAATACAAATATTTATTAAACAAAACGCAAAAAAACATTTAATTTCAAAATTTGAAGCAACAATATAAAATCTGATAAATTCATAAAAAATAAAGAATTTTAAACGCAAATAATTTCAAAAATATCAACATGGCACACAAAAATGCATGCAGTACAAGAATCGATTCCTTCAGTGTAACTTATAACATGAGTGACAGTCTCTGCCTTCAGTGTAGTTTATAACATGAGTGACAGTCTCTGCCTTCAGTGTAGTTTATAACATCAGTGACAGTCTCTGCCTTCAGTGTAGTCTATAACATCAGTGACAGTCTCTGCCTTCAGTGTAGTCTATAACATCAGTGACAGTCTCTGCCTTCAGTGTAGTCTATAACATCAGTGACAGTCTCTGCCTTCAGTGTAGCTTATATCATCAGTCTCTGCGCTGAATATGCGTGGCTTTCATAACTGTCTTCTCAAATATTGAAAACTGTGGTTGAATTGCGAACCGCCACATTTGCATCGATTTCAATGCAAACAACAAAGTGCATTTCATTTGGTTAGCTTAGGTTGACTTGTATCTTTATTTCATCGATATATATCATAAGCAATTAATTTATGACAGTACAGGCAATGAGCAACATCAGGGCCTTACAAGTCAACGAAGGCACTAATAAAAATGTGTTTTTGCTAGTAAATGTTGAGGAATGTGTAGTTCAGAGTGAATACATGGGGATTGGAAGAGAATGGCGCTAATGTCGTCATAAATTCAGATCTTAAAGTTAACAAGAATACCAGAGACTCCAACACAACAATGATGCTTATAACTGAGAAGGAACTTTGGAGCTAACATTTGCACTTGTCATTACGAGGAGTTATATGAGCAATAAAACACTGGTGAAGATGATCACTCAATTCGACAATTTGTGCCACCATTTCAATGATGTTTCCTATGATTAATAAATTGTTTTCAGCAACAAAAAGTTAGCAACGCACGCACGACTTGCAGCCACGCTCTCAACTAGCAATGCAAAGTCGTGGCACGCAGACACTACAGGTGCTACAAGGCATGCACGATAATAACTCTTATTTTAAACTAAAGTCACGTGTTAGTTGTTAGTCACATGATATATAGCATGCATAGATATCATAGCACTCTACTAATAACTCTCGTTACGAACACAATTTCCCCCCAAGCGCTTCTTCGTTAACCGTGACAACAGTCAATACAGATGCGACCAAGAGGTCAACGAACGTGCGTGCAGCAAGAAGTTCAGAGGTCGGTCTAATGGAGGTCGGTCTAAGGGAGGTCGGTCTAATGGAGGTCGGTCTAAAGGAGGTCGGTCTAAGGGAGGTCGGTCTAAGGGAGGTCGGCCTAATGGAGGTCGGTCTAATGGAGGTCGGTCTAAGGGTGGTCGGTCTAATGGAGGTCGTTCTAATGGAGGTCGGTCTAATGGAGGTCGTTCTAATGGAGGTCGGTCTATGGGAAGTCGGTCTAAGCCCTAGGGAAACCAATCCAGATTTTCGCGGATGCTTCTCCAACAAGATTCACGCCATTTTAAATTCTTGTAAATTTGTTCGTCAAAGCGGGCGTTTGCCAAGCAAGCGTTGGCCGCGCGAGCGTTTGCCAAGCGAGCGTTTGCCGCGTGAGCGTTTGCCAAGCGAGCGTTTGTCGCGCGAGCGTTTGCCGCGTGAGCGTTTGCCAAGCGAGCGATTGTCGCGTGAGCGTTTGCCAAGCGAGCGTTTGCCGCGCGAGCGTTTGCCAAGCGAGCGTTTGCCGCGTGAGCGTTTGCCAAGCGAGCGTTTGCTGCGTGAGCGTTTGCCGCGCGAGCGTTTGCCAAGCGAGCGTTTGCCGCGTGAGCGTTTGCCAAGCAAGCGTTTGCCAAGCGAGCGTTTGTCGCGCGAGCATTGACATAATGAAGAGGCAGTACTGAGTTGTGATGCACCAAGTATACATGTACATTATAGACCATCAGAAGTGGAGGCGCATGCTAGAGTATCACCAACACATCACAGAGAAGAGTTGTTGCAAGCATTGGGCTGAGCATAACTGACAAGTGGAAGTTATAAAATAGATTGAAGAGAGCGCATAAATACTGATAATATTTTTGTACCAATTGTCATTAATTAGTGAAACGCTTCGAGTTAAATTTCTTAAGGGACGATAGTCGAGGATTTTCCTCAAATAGAGGCCTATTTTAAGAAGATAAGAAGCGAGGATATCATAAAGATGGTCTTGAATAGTCATTTTATTCACACCAAATAATTAATTTGGTGCGAAGGAGATAAATGATTTGGTGTGCTTCTTAATTATAAATCGTGCAGGATATCAAACGTTCGATCAATAATTATGATCGCATTTTAATGTGTTCTAAAATTAGGAATAGATAAGTGATAAGTGCAGGCATTGGTAAGTACGCAGTGCAGGCACTGGTAAGTACGAAGTGCAGGCATTGGTAAGTACGAAGTGCAGGCACTGGTAAGTACGAAGTGCAGGCACTGGTAAGTACGAAGTGCAGGCATTGGTAAGTACGAAGTCCCATACGAAAATTCAGTCCAATGATTCAGAACGGCAAGAAGCAATGATTTGTACAGAAGCTGAGCACGAGGATCAGGAACGGTAAAACGCAAGAGTTTTTTGAGCAGTAAACGTGAAGGTCGAAAAGTTTTATATGCGATTATTCGCATGAACGAAGTGCAAAGATCAATAATATGTTGAAGCAAAGATTCGTAGGCAATAATTGTGAAGATAAACACTACGAGGAAGAAAGATCAACCAGCAAATAATGAGCTGAACATTTCTGCAACAGCGAAAAGATCACAAAATGTAAGCAATATTAGGCAGAGTGCTGCATGTCTGTAATATTAGGCATTGTAGGCATTACAAGTGAAATGGCAACAATAGAAATAGCAGCATTGAAACAATAAGAACTTTTAGCACTAATAATAAGGCAAACAAACATGGCAAACAAACATAACAGCTGTCAACTTGCAACAAGAGTTGACGGCAACAAATGCGTCAACTTAACGCGCGCAGAAACACTGCCTGCTTTACTGACCAATAAGCGATCATTTCTAAGTAACAAATACTAACTTCATCAGCATCACGACATGAGCTTCCTTCAGTTCTTTCCATCGGCAACATAATGTATATATTATTTATACACAGTAGAGTCAAAGACCAATCCTTATGAGAATAAAGTTTATAGACTTGCAATGGCACAAACATTCCGAAACAAAACAAACGTAACTCTCGGGATAAGATCGGCTATATTAAGTTTGGTCGAATAATATCGAACAATTTAGTTGACATGAGAAAGTAGCTGCCTACAGGAAAACGTGTTAGCTACTACGATAAAAAATAGATTTACGAAACATTTTTTATGATGCGATATGAGTTTATTATCATTGTAAATAAAATATAAATATTGAAATAATTTTTGAAAGAAAACCTCGCACAAATTACACGGTTAGTAGAAGTGAAGGAAATGGAATTTGAACACTGCGTGTCATTTGAAATTAATTTGCAAATACCTTTAATATTTATGGAGATGGAATGTACGGTAAGAGAATAATGAGGCTGAGGTGCGACATCGAACAAAATGTGTCGTTAAATTCAACAGAAATAAAGCAAGACACATTTTAGTGCTACAAATCAACAAGTGTTCTAAGTAAATAGCTCGCCATAAACTCACATGAAGCTATATAAGGATAATACAACACTGTCTGCTATTGCTACAAAATTATGGCGAGAATTAAGCAGAACATTAAGATATCAGAAAAGATATTATATTATAAATGCGTCTAAAATTCAACATCTTCTTAATTAATATTTAGGTGAGCAAAAACATGCATAAAATTATAACTGCTGCTAGGTAGTTTCTATAGAAACGCACTAAAATAAAACTGGAAGAAGACGTGACTAAGCAGCGACTCAGGCAGAACTGAAGACAAAGCTTAATTTGGCCCGCAGCGGTGGAATGGGGGTGCGAAACCCGTCCATCCTGAGGCTGTAAGAGTTTAGTTGCTGACATGAGCACTCAAGAGCTGCAGACATGAGCACTCAAGAGCTGCTGACATGTGCACTCAAGAGCTGCAGACATGTGCACTCAAGAGCTGCTGACATGTGCACTCAAGAGCTGCTGACATGTGCACTCAAGAGCTGCTGACATGTGCACTCAAGAGCTGCTGACATGTGCACCTCACATGGACTGAGTTGTCAGCAGCGCGGAGCAGTAAATAAACTCAAGTCAACAGAAAGTCGCGAGAAAGTCGAGGCAGAAGCAAAAGTCTCCAAACAAAACCAGTGAATTCAAGTTGTATTCACCTTACGTTATTATGAAGCGTTTAAATTGGTCAAATACATTAACTTACAAGAGAAAAACATGAGGCAGTATGTGCGCGGAGCAAAATTGTCTTTTGAAGGACAGCAGAAGTTTCAGTTTTTTGATGAGATTCACAGTAAATGAAATACAGAGATGAATGAAAAAAAAACATTTCCCGGTTATTTCTTCGGAAACATCAGAATAATTTAGAATAATAATACATTTAATTACTATTCTGAGACTCGTTAAGTAGTTTAGTCAAAGAGATTCCAATAAGACGCGTTTCTTTAGTTGATCCTGACGAGCTTTATTTTACCGCCATCCACTAAACCGAGCGACCGCCACCCGGGGACCTCAGGCGCCCTTCTGGTCAACTACGGACGGGGGAGACTGGGAGGGCTCGTCACCTGACATGGAAGGGGACGGGTTGGAGGACCCGTCACCTGCCACAGTGAGGGACGGCTGTGAGGGCCCGTCACCTGCTATGGAAGGGTTTGGTAGGTGTGGCCCGTTACCTGGCTTAGGCTGCTTGTGCGGCGGCAGCTCCCACCCCAAGGAGCGCTCCACGGCCGCGCACCATCGCTCGTACCGACGCTCGCGCTCTGCACGTAAGATCACGATTAGGACTAGATTAAATGACTATAACGTTGATATTATTTCACCATAAGGTCATTGAAATGTTGAGACTATTTGAACCGAACAATGAAGGATTAACTGCACACATTCAGCTCCTGCAGTGGCTACAGAGGTGGGATGGTCAATGGAAATGCCGCAAAATATGTTACAATCAGAGCCGCAACGTTACCAAGTCAATTATCTATGGATTAAATTAAATGAAGCACCTTTCTCTACTTATGCCTCTTCCCTACCATCTTAAAATATAAAAGGACTTCTAAAATCGACTTGATGCTGGGCCACGGGTGAACTTTAGAACAAGCGCGCCAGCGCCGCCGTAGCGTGAGACAAACGCACCACAGAGAGCTGTGCAGCTCTTGAGTGCTCATGTCAGCGGCTCTTGAGTGCACATGTCAGCGGCTCTTGAGTGCACAAGTCAGCAGCTCTTGAGTGCACAAGTCAGCAGCTCTTGAGTGCACATGTCAGCAGCTCTTGAGTGCTCATGTCAGCAGCTCTTGAGTGCACATGTCAGCAGCTCTTGAGTGCACATGTCAGCAGCTCTTGAGTGCACGTGTCAGAAGCTCTTGAGTGCACATGTCAGGATAGAGCCGCATAACGCCTCGGTGATCATCCTCACCGAGACCTGGCACGACGTTTACTCGGTTTGCGCGTCTTCGCGCTGAAGAACTCAAGGTAGTCGAGCGCGCGCTGCCCCGCATGCAGCCGGACATCCTGGCGACGGATTACGGTGTAGTGGCTACCGTCGCCAGCAGGGGCGTGCACCTCGCCGTTCATAACATCGGTGCCCGACCCACCACTTTTGAGCTGCCATGTGCTAGGGTCACCTGTGCCTCGTTTACGGACGTTGCAGTCACCGTCTATCGTCCTGGATTGGTTGCTGTGTCGAGCGAATTTTTCGTTGAATTGAGCGATGTCTTCAACAGACTTGTGACTTTGCCCGATCATGTCCTTAACACCGGCGATTTGAACGTTCGACTGGATCGCGCCGAAGACCTATCGGCTCGTCAGCTGAAATAACTTCTACCAAAGGATCTAAGAGAGGGGGAGTTTACCCTGGAGACCTTCAAGAGACAACTGGACGTTTTCCTGAGCACAATTCCAGATCGACCTCCCCTGCAACACTACCAGCGGCGAGAAGCAAGCAACAGCATCGTGCATCAGGTGGCCCAAATGCGGGCGGATGAACGATAATCAGAGGCGGCGATCCATCGTGGCCTATGACTGCTATGTCCCAAACAAGTACCAAGATTACCATGATTGCCACCTTCGGCATGGTTTGTCACGTGACCTTGCCAATGCACGACATGGGTGGACTGCTGGACGTTGTCATCACGCGTGCTGACCTTCAAAATCTGCCAGTCGGCATCATCGAGATCGCATTATTCGACCATCGACTACTTCAGTGGACGGTGCCATGTGTGCGCCCGGTGCCAGCGTACAAGACCGTCACTGTCGTCCGTGGCGCGGTCTCAACGGCGATACCTCACGTGAAAAGCTGCAGTTGTCCCGACTATGTCGGCCTGACTCATGGTTGGCACTATCAGTCAACGACCTCGTGCAACTCTACAACACCGAGCTGGCCTGTGCACTCGATGACCTCATTCCTGGACGCATAGTTCGGGTACCGCAACGAGTCTCCGACCCATGGTTCGATGATGAATGCCGAGTCTCTAAGCGGGGTATTCGACTGCTCCAGCGGGCTGTCAACCGGGCGAACAGACGCGGCAATCCTGCTGCAGCCGCTGCTGTGGCCTCCACCTGGCGAAATGCACGGCTCAATTATGTCGACCTTCTTCGTTCTAAAAGAGTCATTTTGGCGCCAGTGAGTCGACGCGCAGCGCAGCGACGCTCGAGCGCTGTGGCATTCGCTGGATAAACTCTATGGGAAGAGATCATATGGAAGCTTCGGGTGACGTAAGCGTGAAGGAATTGCATGCGGTTGTTAAGGACATAATTTCTGCTCTGCGAGCAACGTCAGCCGATGCTCCGCCGGCAGCATTTGCCCCGTGTCCGTTCGCCTGCGTGCTGCAAGCATTCACTCGCGTCACAGCTGACGACGTCATCGCTGCAGTGCGCGCGCTGCCCCACAAGCAGTGTGCCAGCGATCCGCTGCCGACGTCGTTACTTAAGGGGAATGTTGTAACCCTAGCACCTTTTCTGGTCGAACTTTTCAACCGCGGCCTCACTGACGGTGTTGATACGATGAACTTCAAATCAGCTTACATTACGCCTATATTAAAAAAACACACCTTGAGGTTTCCGATCCCTAATCATATCGACCCATCTCCAACCTGTCAATTATTTTTGAAACTCCTGGAACGCGTTGTGGCGCGACAACTGAACAACCATCCGGCAGTCCGGTCCTGAGACCGGCAGCCGAACAACTTTCAGCAGTCCGGTCTCATGCCTCGTCTCCAGTCAACACACCGTCGTCTCTGCTCGACGGAAACCGCTGTGCTGAAGGTGCTTTCAGATATTATGCGAGCAGTAGACCGGGGCGACATTGCGGCACTAGCTCCACTCGACCTGACGGCCGCATTTGAGACGGTTGACCACGCCACTTTATTGCGTCGACTTTACGTATCTTTCGGCCAGCGTGATACAATGCTGCTGCGTTCGAGCCCTATCTCAGCAATAGATTCCAAAGCGTTCGACTCTTCTTCTAAACCATCGTTGGTCACTTGCGGCGTACCCCAGGGATCAGTTCTCGGCTCGATCTTCTTACTCCTATATACTGTCGACGATACCAAAATTTATGGCTACTGTGCACCGGCTGACGCTGCAGCGTTGCAGGATCGAATGTCTGACTGCATGGACGCCGTCTCAGCTCTTGGTCAACTCAGCCATAACATAACATAACATAATGATGTCGGCGCTGAAATGTAGGCCTGATGTGGCCTGTCGCCGATTCTTTTCCTTTTCGTGCCTTGTTCATAGATCTAAACTCGTATCATTTGATCGGATCTTTTCATGACTGGCGATAGTTTGAAGTAGCTACTAGACTTCCATATTTCTGTCCTTTTCAAATCTCGGTGACCACACAACGTTTCCCCAACGTTCCATTCACCCAACTCTGGTTGATAAATGAGTACCTGGCTTGTCCAGGGTGTTGTGTAATGCAATCAAACGGTTCTGGCGGGTCAGCGAGCCAGTGATGGTCGTGGAACTACCAGTGGCATTAGTGCCCGGAAAACCTGACCTATCACCCCCTCCCTTACCTAGTCGCCACTACCAGGATGGGCAATTACACACACACTGGATGCGCTCCAACCGGCTCCAGCTCAATGCATCAAAAACCGACTTTATTTGGTTTGCAATTGCAAGGCACCAGCATCACCTTTCGGCCAACCCTGTTCGCATGGGCAACGAGTTTGTAGTTCCTACGTCCGCAGTTCACAGCCTGGGCATTCTGCTGGTCTCGAAACTATCAATGAGCAATCACGTTGCCAAAGTCACCACCGCTTGCTTCGGCGCTCAGCGACGAATACGTAACATCAGCCGCTGTCTTTTGAGGCCGGTCCTTGAGGCCCTCGTGGTGGCGCTCGTTCTGACCAGATTGGACTATGGTAATGCCACACTTTAAGGACTTGCGACCACGGCACTTAATAAACTGCAACCCGTAATGAACGCTGCTGCTCGACTTGTGTGCAATAAGCGGTAATTATACCATGTGATGCCGATGTTGCGCAATCTTCACTGGCTGCGCATTTAGCAGCGCACGCAGTTCAAGGTCGCTGTTGTGACGTGATTTGAAGTAGTTAGTTCTGCCTTCACGGTGTGGCGCCTCCTTATCTCACGGAAGGTACACAGCGCGTGTCGGATCTACCTTCTAGAAGACGATTGCGCTCGTCAACAGCGGACCTAGTCGTACCATCTACACGTCTACCTCGTCGTACCATCTACACGTCTATCTACCGTCGGCGACAGAGCGTTCCCGGTCGCCGGCGCCAGAACCCGGAACAGTCTGCCGGCTTCCGTAACTTCGTTGCAGGTGTTTCGTCGAAGCCTAAAGAGGGAACTATTTCGTAGAGCCTATGAGTCTAGTGCTTAGTCGTTTTATCTGTTCCCATCCTATCTCGTGTCTATTTATTTTTCGCTTGCTATTAATCTTATGTGTGACGTGCCCTAGAAGATCGTTTGGACCAGACGCCAACATAAATGCTCCGTACAATAATTCCAACAATAATAATAAAAAAATAATAATAAAGTGTCCGTAACGTTAGCGGTCGAGATAAGTCCGTCCACATCCCTAACCCGTTAAGTCCTCCTCAGTGATGTATGTGAAGCATTAAGTAACAATAGCTGCACTGTTAGAAAATTTACCATTAACGGTATTACCGGCGTTTCAGTGGCCGGTCGGCACGTGAAAAGAAACATCGTGTTGCCTTTTTATTCTAATTTAACGCTAGTTATCCGTAAAACATCTGATATAAACGGTAAAACAGTTTATTTTCACGGGGCAACCGGCCACTAGAACGCCGGTGGGACCGTTTTTTTCACCGTTTTTTCTAACAGTGTGGAGTGGTTTCTCCTGAACACTTGCTTGTTATTGTCGCCTTTATAAAATAGTTGCTAACACCTGTAGAGGGAAGAGATAAGCTATCACCCCTACCATCACCTGTAGAGGGAAGATAAGCTATCACCCCTACCATCACCTGTAGAGGGAAGATAAGCTATCACCCCTACCATCACCTGTAGAGGGAAGATAAGCTATCACCCCTACCATCACCTGTAGAGGGAAGATAAGCTATCACCCCTACCATCACCTGTAGAGGGAAGATAAGCTATCACCCCTACCATCACCTGTAGAGGGAAGATAAGCTATCACCCCTACCATCACCTGTAGAGGGAAGATAAGCTATCACCCCTACCATCACCTGTAGAGGGAAGATAAGCTATCACCCCTACCATCACCTGTAGAGGGAAGATAAGCTATCACCCCTACCATCACCTGTAGAGGGAAGATAAGCTATCACCCCTACCATCACCTGTAGAGGGAAGATAAGCTATCACCCCTACCATCACCTGTAGAGGGAAGATAAGCTATCACCCCTACCATCACCTGTAGAGGGAAGATAAGCTATCACCCCTACCATCACCTGTAGAGGGAAGATAAGCTATCACCCCTACCATCACCTGTAGAGGGAAGATAAGCTATCACCCCTACCATCACCTGTAGAGGGAAGATAAGCTATCACCCCTACCATCACCTGTAGAGGGAAGATAAGCTATCACCCCTACCATCACCTGTAGAGGGAAGATAAGCTATCACCCCTACCATCACCTGTAGAGGGAAGATAAGCTATCACCCCTACCATCACCTGTAGAGGGAAGATAAGCTATCACCCCTACCATCACCTGTAGAGGGAAGATAAGCTATCACCCCTACCATCACCTGTAGAGGGAAGATAAGCTATCACCCCTACCATCACCTGTAGAGGGAAGATAAGCTATCACCCCTACCATCACCTGTAGAGGGAAGATAAGCTATCACCCCTACCATCACCTGTAGAGGGAAGATAAGCTATCACCCCTACCATCACCTGTAGAGGGAAGATAAGCTATCACCCCTACCATCACCTGTAGAGGGAAGATAAGCTATCACCCCTACCATCACCTGTAGAGGGAAGATAAGCTATCACCCCTACCATCACCTGTAGAGGGAAGATAAGCTATCACCCCTACCATCACCTGTAGAGGGAAGATAAGCTATCACCCCTACCATCACCTGTAGAGGGAAGATAAGCTATCACCCCTACCATCACCTGTAGAGGGAAGATAAGCTATCACCCCTACCATCACCTGTAGAGGGAAGATAAGCTATCACCCCTACCATCACCTGTAGAGGGAAGATAAGCTATCACCCCTACCATCACCTGTAGAGGGAAGATAAGCTATCACCCCTACCATCACCTGTAGAGGGAAGATAAGCTATCACCCCTACCATCACCTGTAGAGGGAAGATAAGCTNCATGATAAAGCTGACATGATAAAGCTGGCATGATAAAGCTGACATGATAAAGCTGACATGATAAAGCTGGCATGATAAAGCTGACATGATAAAGCTGGCATGATAAAGCTGACATGATAAAGCTGACATGACAAAGCTGACATGACAAAGCTGACATGATAAAGCTGACATGACAAAGCTGACATGACAAAGCTGGCATGATAACTCGACATAAGGCTTTGAACATTTCATGTACAATTGTAAGCATACAATGAGCCGCAACATGACAGCGCAGCGTCTTCTGTGTGCAATTAAACGGCAGCGACGCTACAAAATAAAAATAGCGAAGGTAACTTTGAATACCTGACTTATTGCCTGACTTATTGCCTGACTTATTGCCTGACTTATTGCCTGACTTATTGCCTGACTTATTGCCTGACTTATTGATTGATGGGTGACATTAATTCTTCAATTTAGAAATACAAACTTAAGAAGACATTCTTCCAGGAAAAAAATACATTCAAAGCGTCAGGAACATGACCATGTGACCAGGAACATGACCATGTGACCAGGAACATGACCATGTGACCAGGAACATGACCATGTGACCAGGAACATGACTCACCTACAGGCACATGACTCACCTACAGGCACATGACTCACCTACAGGCACATGACTCACCTACAGGCACATGACTCACCTACAGGCACACGACTCACCTACAGGCACATGACTCACCTACAGGCACATGACTCACCTACAGGCACGCCCGCCAGGTCGGCCTGGAGCTGCAGGAGCAGGTCGTTGGTTGTCATGCCGCCGTCCACGAGGAGCCTGGAGATGGAGATGCCGGAGTCCTGCTCCATGGCGTCCAGGATCTCGCGCGTCTGGAAGCACACGGACTCCAGGGCGGCGCGCGCCAGGTGGCCCGAGGTGGTGCCCTGGGTGATGCCGCAGATGGTGCTGCTCGCGGGGCGTCATTATAGTGCGACTATTGTGGTTATGGATTATGTTAACGTACTTATAAATTATGTAACTATCGTGGTTATGGCTTATGGAACTTGGTGACATGATGGTGACAGATGGTGACATGAAACAACAACAACATGATCGTTGTGGGACTATCGTGGTTGTAGAATATGGAACTATCGTACTTCTAAATTATGGAACTGTCGTCGTTGTGAATTTTGACGGAAGAAACAATATTCTAAATTTTGCAATGTTTTAGTTATTTTTATAGAAAAAATTAATGAAAAAAACTGAGGCACTCAAGTCTAAACGTTACGAAATTAAGACCAGTCCGGCCAGACACAGCCATCTACTTCTCGGGCGATGGATGTAATAATTTATGAAAGGACCGTTACTACATCTTTTATTCCATTGATCCGGCCGTCTTTAATATCGGTATAATGCTACCTCGTAACGTATAGTTGTAGGTCATTCACTCTAATTCATGAGGTTGTAGTCGCACTAGTCCGCTTCAAGCAAGCATTCTATTAAGTTATGGGCCCATGTTGCTGGTACGTGAACTAGGACTGCATGAACACAAGTGTTTGTAGTTAATTTGTTGTGAATACTTGTGTTACTCCCGACACTAGACAGGCTTGTATAACTCTACACACAACACAACACAACGCAACGCAACACAGCACAACACAACACAACACAACACAACACCCCTCACCCCCTAGCGTCAGAGCGCCAGCGAGGCGCGTAAAGGCCGGAGAAGGCAGGCACGAAGTACACGCCTCCCGTGTCCTCGACGCCTCCCGCGAGCCTCTCGACGTCCTCAGCCTTCTTCAGGAGGCCAAGGCTGTCCCTGAGCCAACGCACAGCGGCGCCCGCGATGGCAACACTGCCTTCAATGGCGTACACGGCCTGTGCTGATGCACCGAACTTGTAGGCCACAGTCGTCAGCAGACCATGCGTGGACCACACCATCTGCAAAATGCAGCGATTAGTCCTATTTACTATAGCTCCTATACAATATCAGGAGCTATACAATATTACATTCTAAAAGGTTAACAATAATATAACAACTGAACTGAAACAACACATCGAAAGAAAAAGAAATCATATATAAAGCTTGAAAATACATCAGTAGAGACAAACGAAAAATACAGGAATACAATTAGATATTGTGCAGAGTGCGGAGTTCAATTTGTACATGGATTGTGAAGATCAATGTGAACTGGACGGACACGAAAGAAATAACATGGGAAACACTTGCAACAAATTCGTCGTTACGAAAAAGTGGCAGAGCGTAACTGCGCAGGTCATTGTACTGACAACCTAGGGATAAGGACACGCCGCATAGGATATGTAATGACCAGCATGTAGCACGCGTAGGAAAAGCACCGTAGTGACAAGAGTCATTACTGTACTTGGCCTGTAATGACAGTACAGTAATGGCAGGAGTACAGCACCTGGGCACCGGTGTTGTACAGCAGGAAGCAGCCTGTACCGTACGTGTTCTTGGCCTGCCCCCGCGCGAGGCACATCTGCCCCACCAGCGCCGCCTGCTGGTCACCGATCACCTGACGGCAACACGCGCATTATCTTCTTGGTCACGTTAATTAATAAGACATTAATCATAATAATAATCAAATACTCTATTTCTATTATTATAACATTAATATTATAATAGAATAGCCCTCCCTCCCCCTCACCCCCGAGATGGGCACGCCCCTGAGAGGGCCGTCGTTGAGGTAGCCGTACACCTCAGAGCAGCTGCGGATATCTGGCAGCACCCACGACGGGATGTCGAAAAACCTTCACAAAACAACATAAAGCCTTTACAAAATAACAAAAAAAACTTCATAAAATAACAAAAATCCTACAAAAAATACATACAATTTGGGACAGGTTAAGACAGAAATTTACGTGCATGCTAGAGTAAATCACAGGTAAATATTCGGTAGACTAGCGATGTCGTGTACATTAGATTTTAATTGAAATAGAACTGGTCGCATATCCTGATATGTTAACATTGCTAATGTACTTTGATTTCTGCGAACGGACGACATTAAAAATGACATCGACATTGACGGACATTGAAAATTAACACAGATTAATACAGTAAGGTAGGAAATGCATTACTTCTCAAGACACAGGTATATTTTTCAATAACATATTTTACACTTATTATTCGATGAAGTATTCGGTGCAGCTTGTGTAAGCATTATGTGGTGCATCAATATATCAACCTTCACCGACTTACAGCGAACACAATATTTATTTTCTTTGCAGTTATTTTTTCCACAATTTCTACACATGTGATACTACGGACAAAAAATAGTTTTACTATAACAAAGAAGCGCATTTAATGTTCACGAACTTTACATAAATGTAAATTTTAAATATTCAATGTCATAGTTATATTATGAAGGATATAAAAATTAAAACGGTGACAGCCATGAACGCGGAGTTATTCTTTACGGCCGAGATTTCAGGTGAAATTACATGAAGCATTTAATGGAGAAGTTGGTGAAAAATAAACATTTGAGACATCAATGATAAAAAGCAATTTATCCATAGTGAAGAACGGACGCAGAGACAATAGTTGATAGACTCCTGCGTCTCGAAATAATTTTCTCGAAATGAACCGGGACAGACGAAACGAGACGAGAAAATTCCGGGAAAAAAATAACGGGACAGAGGGTAAAATTTGTCCCGGAATAAACGTATGAACCGAGACAAGACTTCTGTCCCGGACTTTAAAACTTGTTAAAGTACACAGAGACTGCGAACGCGCGCTCCTCTCTCGACCACTGCATGGTCGCAACTGAACTGAGTGGACGAAAAACTTCATAGCCCGCGCACCATATTGCGCATGGCGCCACCTTCCTAGGACTAATGGCCGCCACGTGGCGCGCAATTCAAATAAGTAAGTTCCCGCGCCGCACCCTGTATTAAATATTATTTAAAAACCAGCATGATACATACATAATATAAATTACAGAATAAAACTGTACGAAAGATTTCGGTGAAATGTTGTTAACCTCAGCCTGTTACTAGTGTCAACATGTTAGTTGTTACCAGAGGTTGGCAGTAGCACGCTACATGTAGCGGCGGCTACATATTCGGTAGCGGTAGCCGCGCTACATTTAAGCAATTGCAGCGGTAGCGGTAGCGCCCGCTACATTTAGAGCATGTAGCGGTAGCGGTAGCGCCCGCTACATTTAGAGCATGTAGCGGTAGCGGCCGCTACATTTCAAAGTAGCGCTGCCCAGCTCTGTATAAATGTATGATGGTAAGCCAAAGTTTACACCCCATCAATAATTGATTCGTCTCGTTATGTCTCGTTAAAATGGCTATAAATTCCGGGAAATTTTAAGGTAACTATTTTAACCGGGATGTTTCGTCTCGTATCGGTATCGTCCCGGAATTCCTACGGAAGGCTGAAAATTGTCCCGGTTTTTATTGCGAACCGGGACAGAGCCTGTTGTCTCGTCTCGGATAAAAAATAATACCAAACGCAGGAGTCTAATAGTTGAGGATGCAAGAGATCTGTTGCTACGTGGTAAACATACGGCTGGCGACATTAATGAGAAGTGATCATATAATCGCAGCGTTAGATTATAACGATAGTTCCAACAATTTCTAAGCGTCTTCCAACGAACGGGCAGCACAAATTGCATCTCTAGATGAATACACAAGGAATAAAGTTGATCAAAGTCTTGGCATGTACCGTACCATTAAAATTTGAATCTCGGGTGGCGATAATTAGTAAAGTTATCGTAATTTTGGTGAGAAAGAAGTTGAAACATAAATAATATCTATACAAATTAACTTCCGAAATAAGAAATCAGCGTGCGTCTTATTCTCTTTTACAGCTTCAAAGTAATCTACTTTTGACTACTTTCATTTTGTACATTCTAAATTATTATTTTTGTAACGCGCCATTTGTGATGTCTGAAATGTTTTCTTTGGTTTGCTCAAATGTCAACAAGGCACTACAGTGCACATGGCAACAAGGCACTACAGTGCACATGTCAACAAGGCACTACAGTGCACATGTCAACAAGGCACTACAGTGCACATGGCAACAAGGCACTACAGTGCACATGTCAACAAGGCACTACAGTGCACATGTCAACAAGACACTACAGTGCACATGTCAACAAGACACTACAGTGCACATGTCAACAAGGCACTACAGTGCACATGTCAACAAGGCCTGTCTCTTATACACATCTAGATGTGTATAAGAGACAGTCTTAACCCTCTACCGCCTGACATGAGTAACCGGAGCAATATTGTCACGCGCCTACTTCCCAAAAAGGATACGTTCTAGTGAGCGCAAAATGACTTGCACTGATGGTTGCCGCCACGTACGACAACTTTAAAATGTTCTCTGTTGCGTACAAACGTCCTCAGGTTGCTACACTCAATAGTTTACGTATTATTTAAGTTGAGAGTAATGTTCCCGGAGAGTGACATACTGCGGCAGAGGGTTAAGGACAACGTTTAATAATAAGCACTAATAAGTGCTTATTAATAATAAGTGAAAAATATAAGTTAATAAATATTATAATAATATTATAGTATTTATTATAATAATAAATATTAATATTAATAGCTTATTAATAATAAGTTAAAAAGCAGCAGCACACTGACCCAGAGCAGCCAGGTGTCGACAGTACCGAAGAGCAGCGTGTGCTGGTTAATAATAATAACAATAATTAATGATAATGTACAAGTGTAACACTGACCCAGAGCAGCCAGGTGTCGACAGTGCCGAAGAGCAGCGTGTGCTGGTTAATAATAATAACAATAATTAATGATAATGTACAAGTGTAACACTGACCCAGAGCAGCCAGGTGTCGACAGTGCCGAAGAGCAGCGTGTGCTGGTTAATAATAATAACAATAATTAATGATAATGTACAAGTGTAACACTGACCCAGAGCAGCCAGGTGTCGACAGTGCCGAAGAGCAGCGTGTGCTGGTTAATAATAATAACAATAATTAATGATAATGTACAAGTATAACACTGACCCAGAGCAGCCAGGTGTCGACAGTGCCGAAGAGCAGCGTGTGCTGGTTAGCAGCGTGCTGCACGGCGGGCACGTGGTCCAGCAGCCAGCGCAGCTTCAGCGCCGAGAAGTACTCAGAGATGGGCAGCCCGCAGATGTTCTTGAGGGCGTCCTTGTCCTGCCCTGGCGTCCTCTTGAGTACCTGCTCCACGGTGCTCGTGGTGCGAGCGTCCAGCCAAACTGTTGAGATGGGGGACAGTGCGTTTAATACAGTCAGCAGAGCATCAAACAGTCAGCAGTACATCAAACACAGTCAGCAACACAGCAGCAATGATTAAATAGGGATTTTTAATTAGAGATATATTTTATATATAGAGAGAGAGACGTTTCTTAGTTTCTTCTCATATCTTTTAAAGTTGGGTGAATCGGAGTGATTACTCCACCAAATTTACGTTACGTTCAGGTTCAGGTTCAAGATACCGGTATTCATTACTTATCGTTTTGTCAGGTGGTTGCCGAGTGGCATTTGATCTGTCTCTTATACACATCTAGATGTGTATAAGAGACAGCTCTTACACTGTATTGAACAACAGCTTGGTGACACTACTACAGGAGACGGCTCTCCACTCACAACACGATGTTACTCGGCACGCTGGCCGTTTCACTCTGCGCTGCTTCTCCTACTACCTCCCTCCTTTTATAGCCCCATTCGCTACCCGCGCGGGGCGTCGTATACCCGCTTGTTTTCAAACCGTCGGCTTATGAAATCTTCAACGGTTCTACATATATTCCCAATTTTATGAATTTCTATCCTTATCAGCAACACAGCAGCACATCAAACACAGTCAGCAACACAGCAGTACATCAACACAGTCGGCGGCAACACAGCAGCACTTCCAACACAGTCAGCAACACAACAACACATCCAACAGTTCCCACAAGTGGAAACAAGGAGCTTCAATAGGAAAAAAGCGACATGCATTCAATATATGGCGGCAGGGCTGCGTCCAATTTTCCCTATTGTATGATGCACGGCTCGGAAAAGTGGGCAATTGTATTTTTCAATATAATGCTCATTCGCTTCCCTAACTTGCCTATAGACAGAAAACTTGCCTATGGACAGAAAACTTGCCTATGGACAGAAAACTTGCCTATGGACAGAAAACTTGCCTATGGACAGAAAACTTGCCTATGGACAGAAAACTTGCCTATAGACAGAAAACTTGCCTATGGACAGAAAACTTGCCTATAGACAGAAAACTTGCCTATGGACAGAAAACTTGCCTATGGACAGAAAACTTGCCTATAGACAGAAAACTTGCCTATGGACAGAAAACTTGCCTATAGACAGAAAACTTGCCTATAGACAGAAAACTTGCCTATAGACAGAAAACTTGCCTATAGACAGAAAACTTGCCTATAGACAGAAAACTTGCCTATAGACAGAAAACTTGCCTATAGACAGAAAACTTGCCTATAGACAGAAAACTTGCCTATAGACAGAAAACTTGCCTATAGACAGAAAACTTGCCTATAGACAGAAAACTTGCCTATAGACAGAAAACTTGCCTATAGACAGAAAACTTGCCTATAGACAGAAAACTTGCCTATAGACAGAAAACTTGCCTATAGACAGAAAACTTGCCTATAGACAGAAAACTTGCCTATAGACAGAAAACTTGCCTATAGACAGAAAACTTGCCTATAGACAGAAAACTTGCCTATAGACAGAAAACTTGCCTATAGACAGAAAACTTGCCTATAGACAGAAAACTTGCCTATAGACAGAAAACTTGCCTATAGACAGAAAACTTGCCTATAGACAGAAAACTTGCCTATAGACAGAAAACTTGCCTATAGACAGAAAACTTGCCTTTAGACAGAAAACTTGCCTATAGACAGAAAAATGCTAAATGAAACGGCACCGCAGCGAGCAAGGCACACGCTTGACTACCACCAACTATCGACAATTCATCCTGTTCATATTGACTATGACTATTCATCCACCAACTCTACACGCCTCCTGGTGCTTCAAACTGCCGCCTTAATTACGAACAATAACTTGATGCCACAACACGAACATCACCACTCAAATATCTAATGAACGTAAGTACCTACGTAAATATCTAATGAACGTAAGTACCTACGTAAGTGAACGTAAGCACCTACGCTCTATTTTTCCTTCACCAAACACATTCCTCTGTTCCGTCCTGCAACGCCACAAACAACACTTGGCACCAAATCAAAATACCGTAGAGTGGAACGAGCTGGGGCCATACTTTCAAAACTCGCTAAGTGAACGTAAGTACTTACGCTCTATTTCTTTGTCTATGATTGGTGGATTTTGCTTGAAAGGCCGTCAATGATTGGCTGATTAAGTTACTATCTCTTAACTTTTTTTTGAAGGTATGGGCCCTGGATGGTAATATGGAGTGGTAGACGAGACACCAAGATGATAAGGGAGAGTTGCATGTTGACAACAACACGAACAATCCGCACGCTATACTCGTGTTGCATTACAGTTCCATTGGAAGTCTACCTCGCGAACAACAAGCAAAAACACACGAGGCAAACGAACGCTAATCTAGCCGTCGGCACAGCAGAATTGTAGCAAGTACCGTTGTTGAGCAAGATGAATTTGAAGGCACGCTTCGTGGACACGTTTCATGGGCACGCTTCATGGGCACGCTTCACGTTTCCGTCTACGTCGCTTTTATCGGCTTTTATATATCGTTGTTTTTTTTTCTGGCATCTTGGTTGTAAAATTTTACCGTTTATCTCAACCTTTTCAACGTGTATACGCATGATACTGTTACATAGTAAATAGTTATACGTTTTACCGCACTTTGAGTTGATAATAACCATTAAAAGGAACACCAGTTCCCACGTCCTCGAAAGATGAATCCGATAAAAGATAAAACAGAAATTCACCTACAATAGAACAGTCTAAATAAAATCTACAGTGGGGGGAAATAAATATTCGTACACTTGAAAAATCGTATTTTAATGTATGCATGTAAGTACACAAACTTAACAGTAAAAGTGATTTAAATTATGTATAGAGACGCATAGTATTCAAAAATACTATCAAAAGAAATTAAATCTCAATGCAACAAAAAACAATGCAACATGTTCACTTTTCGGGTGAAAAAAGTATTCGTACAAAACAATAAATCCGCATTATTTTAATTTAATACTTGGTTGAATACCCTTTATTCCTGTCTCTTATACACATCTAATNATTGTTTTTTGTTGCATTGAGATTTAATTTCTTTTGATAGTATTTTTGAATACTATGCGTCTCTATACATAATTTAAATCACTTCTCCTGTTAAGTTTGTGTACTTACATACATTAAAATACGATTTTTCAAGTGTACGAATATTTATTTCCCCCCACTGTATAATAATGGAACAAACTTCTTTACAAAGCTCCATTAAGACGCAACATAGCTTTACTTACCTCAGGAATATTGATTCATTAATCATGGAGCAGACTAGACCACGTGAGTGTGAGCTTAGACCGCACTAATAACAATGAAGTCTATAGTAAAGCCTCCAGAAAACAATCAGAGATAAATATTAATATTTGTCTCTGATTATATAGAAATATAATATAGAAAATAGTATAGAAAATAATCTATAGAAAACAATAAGAGATAAAAATATTACCTCAGCATAACATGGACGAGAGCCTCGCACATCAAGGCTGGCTTTGACATGAATAAATAACATTAAAGCCATGTCACGTCCGCGACTACATTGTTGCCAGCAGCTAGCCATGGCGACGCTGGCAACCATGTCACGTCCGCGACTACATTGTTGCCAGCAGCTAGCCATGGCGACGCTGGCAACCATGTCACGTACGCGACTACATTGTCGCCAGCAGCTAGCCATGGCGACGCTGGCAACCATGTCACGTACGCGACTACATTGTCGCCAGCAGCTTGCCATGGCGACGCTGGCAACGACGTAACAGCTGGCTTGACGGCAACGGCCGAATAATGCCTAACTGGCTGCTGGAAATATGTTCGTTTTGACTAAAAAACATTCCATGAGTACGTAAAAATGAAATATGGGAACATCCCAATTACATACGTTGATGACTAAACGTAATCGATGTCATCATAACTTTCAACATATTTCAAGTTCAAGACAAATCAGAAGCAGCTGAATACCATTGGCATAAACATAACTGATTCATGTCCCTTGATCAACAACAAAATATTTGTTTCTCAAACAATCTCCACGTGGTGACGTGTGCCATGCGTCGCCACACCGAGGCAGGTCTTGTTGTGAACAAGATGCGTTTAAAGCTACATGCATCCCAGGTGATTGCGTGAGGAAGATAAGGCTATAGACACGCAGAACTTGCGATGGCATGAGATAGACCTAGCAATAGCGAGAAATAGGCTGGCCAGTCAGTTTGTCCCACACAATCTCACCAATAGCGTTGTAGAGAGGCTGGCCAGTCAGTTTGTCCGACACAATCTCACCAATAGCGTTGTAGAGAGGCTGGCCAGTCAGTTTGTCACACAATCTCACCAATAGCGTTGTAGAGAGGCTGGCCAGTCAGTTTGTCCCACACAACTGTTGTCTCGCGTTGGTTTGTAATGCCGATAGCTTTGATGTCATCGGAGGCAATAGAGAGGTTCCTGCACACATTAAGATAAGCTATAGTTAACAGGCCATTGGAGCTAACCATACCAAGTCATGCACTAAAACGCAGTTCCTTTGAAATACCAGACATTGTTGTTGATCAGTTATCTTTGGGGCATTCACGCCCACTTAGAAAAATTATGCTAGATTGTCAGTGAATTGTGAAATAAACTTTAAGGCGAGCAACTATCAGATGAATTTAAATGCCCCTTTCCTTCATGGACCAAAACCACCGTTTCAGATAAAACGTTTGATTACCACAAATGCAGTGTCTGGTAGACAAGCAAGGAGAATTTTAACAGCACGCCTCATGAGGTTGAAATAACCTTTTGTGGTCCAGATGGTATTGGCTCGTTCACACACACCATTTCAGTTGCAATGGAGATATGGTCAATCAATAGAGCATCGTGTATCTGCACACAACTAACAGCATGATTATTGAAACAGGCCGCTCTGTCATTAGAACACAGACGTGCAAAGAATCATTTCAACGTTGGCCACAATAGCTGCATTGCAAGGTTTTACACGATAGTGAAGTAGGATAGTAACTTAGTCATAATGGTTCTAAGACTGCACGGACCGAACAGTATGGAATCAAGAAAACATAAAACGTGTGTGTAAAGCAATTGAACAAACATGCAGTAAAACAACGCCAAGTGCTGACTGATGCATGTGTCAAGGTTGCCAACTACTTTAGTGGAAGGCTCACTTGAGGTTGTCAACTGCTGTGTGGAGTGTTCAGTGGAAGGCTCACTTGAGGTTGTCAACTGCTGTGTGGAGTGTTCAGTGGAAGGCTCACTTGAGGTTGTCAACTGCTTTACTGATGCAGGTGGTGACGCTGTCAAGGAGCTGCATGGGGTCCTGCTCCACCCAACCCTCCTGCGGGAACCGCTGCACCACCTCCTCCTGATGATACGTCAGCACCTCTCCACTGCCAGCAGCAAATATCTGGCCAACAAAAACACGTCACCTCTTTTAACTTATATTGCTTAGTTGCCAGGAGCTTAGCATGGTTCTTCAAAAGATTATCCTTGCAAAGAAAATACTTAGCAGTTTGGCTCTCATTGTTGGTCAAAAAAAAGTGAATAATTATGAGTGTAAGCTGTAGAAAGAATGTCTATAAATATGAGAGAAGAAATTTCATCTGTGATCATTTAAGATTCTAAGAATATAAATGGCCTTTCAATTGTTATGTACCATATATATTTTGGAACCAATTTGCAAACAAAGAGAACCCAGCCATCTTGCACTGCCTGATCACTGAGCTACTTTTTACTCAATAAAAGTGTGCTTCATTGAAACAGAAAAATACTTAGGTTGTTCAAAATAATAATTAAAATAAAAGCTATACTATATACATAATTTGAAATGTTTTCTGGTTACAATCATTTTGTTTAAGAATTCCTCCAAAAATAAAGGAAATTATTCAAATTATGAGCTTAAGCTTTCTCAACTTTAATAAAAATAAGAGACATCTATGTAAAATAACATGAGAAAGAATGAGTCTCTCATAATCAATAGCAAAATTTGAATTGTGAAGTGAAGCAATTGTGAAGTGAAGCAACTGTGCTTGCTTGCAATGCAAGTGGTATTACAAGTGATGGCCCCATGGCTGGTAGAGCAAACAAGCACTGCATGCAACTCACCAAGAAGCGTGTGGAAGACGTGCCCTGGTCAACAGCCCCAATGAGAGGCCCGTGTCTGCCGCTCTCAACAGACTCAGACGTGTTCTTAGTCTCGGCCATTGTGCGTACAAACAACCGTAGTAAAATTAATCAACAACAAGGAATTTAATTATTTAATTTTGGTGTGAAAAACAAATTCATGACTTCCTGTAGGTAATGAAAAAAAATCTAATTTTAGAATACGTCAAGAATTTTTTAAATTTTAATAGTGAATGCTAAAATTGTCAAAACAATGTTTATACAGTAGCTAATTGAAGGCCTAGTGAGAAGATTTTATTTAAGACCTATGTGTGTTGAACCTTAAATGCAGGTACTTTATATGAGGGTAGCAGGTACTTTATATGAGGGTAGCAGGTACTCTATATGAGGGTAGCAGGTACTCTATATGAGGGTAGCAGGTACTCTATATGAGGGTAGCAGGTACTCTATATGAGGGTAGCAGGTACTCTATATGAGGGTAGCAGGTACTTTATATGAGGGTAGCAGGTACTCTATATGAGGGTAGCAGGTACTCTATATGAGGAGTGCTGCAGGTCAGTAGCCTGATTACATGAGCCTTTACAGGCAAATATTTTGGTTGTATTTTTCATGGTAAAGGGCATTTAAGGGTTAAGTGGCCCAATTTTGTGAATAAGCTCCCATTTGACCATCACCAATTATGATAAAATTTTGCATATACATAAATCATTTGAACTTCAAACTAATTCAGTCAAAATTCAAGCTCAAAATATAAAAATTAAATAAACTAGAAACTCTGAAATGAGGCCATTTTGGAACATCAGACATAATATTCCAAGAATCCTGGGTAAAAACTTTTGTATTGTAGCAAATTTTGGAAATTGTATTGCATTCTATTGTATTGAAGCCATTAAAAATGTGCATTTTCTCATTTTTATGGACAAAATTAGGCTGGGGCCTTAAAAACAGGTGAAATCAACCACAAATGCACAAATTCGGTTGGATTATTGGGCACATTTTTTTAATTGCAGGTAAAGTTTATCATTCTATGGATAAATTTCAAAAACTGCTGGTGAAAAGTTTTTCTCATCATTCACGGGATAATAGGCCATAGGAAAAAGTAAAATTGGCAAAATCATGGGCGTTGCCATCTGATTCACAAGTGGCTTCTGCCAAATTTTCCAGTTTAGCAAGCATGGGCATTATATTCATCTCTTGGACAGATACTGCAGAGGTTCAGTTAAATTTCCCAGATTGGAGATGACACATAGTAAAACTTTCCTGGATATAGCAGTGCAAAATTTTGAAATTTATGTCACTGCAATCAGTTTCACCTGCCTGGGCTTTAATATTGGAATATTCCTGTTAACTACTGAAATCTTGTGGCTCCAAGTGAGTTCTAAAATTGAGTTAGTGGCACCAAGTGAGTGCTTGGCCCTACTTTACAGCCTGGCAAACTACAATAAATGCAGTATACAAATTTTATTTCATTTTTAATCTTGTGTCTGGATTGTACACTTTTCTCAAAAATTAGATGGGCAGTAACTCGTCTAGCAGAATCTGGCAGTTCCAAAAATGGCAGGATAGCTCTAGTTGCAGCATATTAGTTAGATATATTCCATGCCCCTGTGATGGGTCATCTTTATTGGTTAAATGATGGAAGGTATTCAAGGTTCTTTAAAATCTAAAGGGTTACAATTACATAAAAGATGGCCTCCCAACTCCCCTTATAGCCATCCCTGTCCACCAGGTGTTTTTTCTCTTTTTGTTTAATTTTATTTAATGCTAATACACGATTAAATTATTAAGCCTTAAAGAACTTAGAATTTAAATCTGATAGGGAACCCTAGATCAAAAACCTAGCCAAATAACTGAGTTAACGGAAAACCCTATAACCAGATACAGATAGGCTAGTTGCTTAGGAAATAACCAGGAAACCGTACAACCAAGTAACTGGGCAATCGTACAACTAGGCAACTGGGCAACAGGGGCATGGGTCGCTTATGAAGTACTTGAAGTTGCTTCTGTAAAATATTTACATTATCAACATGCAACACCTAACACAACTATTATTAAACACATCAATACAAACTCCACGGTTCAAAACATATATACACAATAAACTATCAAGCAGGATAACATAAATATATTTCTCATCTATAACAGTATTATCACAAACACAACGTTAAAATCTCTACCAATGAATATATGAGCAGTGATTTAAGAAAGTATATTTTGGCAACTACTACTCACCAAGAAGAAGTAGTGGTACCTAAATAGGTATATATATAAGGTAACGGCTGATAGAAGATTTGGAATTTTAATCACCACTGAGTCACTGACACATGAAATAATTAAAATGGTCTGCAAAAAGGGCAAAGTGAATGAGACGGAGAGCACTGATAACAAAAATATGTAATGTTCACCATGAATGTCAAGATTCAAAATAATTTCACATTAACTTGGGACTGGGGGAGCGTTACTTCCCCAAGTGGGATCAACGGACAACGATCAAGGCAACCACCACTCTCCAGCAGAAAGAGTGACAGCCCGTAACACCCCAAACCCAGGATGGTGCTATTTTGCATAGATTGATCCAACACACCCAAGTCTCTGAGGTCTTGTACTGGCAGTGGCGTACAATGTGGCATACAAGGAGCTAAATTAATGCAATTGACATCCATGACCGGCATACGTTCGCATCAGGCACAGGCGCTACTGAAAAACATCATTAAACACGAGAAACTTCGATATAACTCAAACTCATCAGAAAAAATCGTAAAGCCAGAGTCGGATATCCTGGCATATGAAAAACTAGAGCTAGTGAGGAACAGTGTCAGAGCTCTCATTATCAATGCAGACTGAGATAGAGTAAAAGTTTGACCAATTTTCTTCTTCGGATCCGTTTTTATGAGGACTCGGTTGTTCACCACCCGCCTCACGTCTGGATGGTCAGCATTGGCCAGACTGGAGCGGCCTGTGGATAAAAGACCAGATTAGACTTTGAAAAGTTTGAGGTTGTTTTGTTAGTTCAACTAGCTACTTCAAATTAGATTAGTAATTCGAGCAATGTTAGTCACCCTTACCTATCAGGAGGGCCTACCCAGACAGGGAGCATGGGCCAGATGGTCCAGCCTGGGCTGGTGCAGCCTGGAGCATCATTAAAATCCATACGGAGGGGGGGGGGGCGCACACTTTAGATGAGAAAACAAAGACCAGCTGATGCTACATCTGCTTTGCTACTTGGCAACTACCATCAGGGTCGTACTTCAAAGGGGGCTTTCTGTCTGGGCGATTTGTTTAGGACTCCTAGGAGGATCCTGTACATAATCACATTTACAATAATACATGTGGGATAGAATCCTTCCAGGAGCATGGCACTTGAAGTGGCATCAAAAGGATGGTTGAGGACCTCTAAGTTAGTGGTTAGGCAAAGTCTACAGGTCTCTCAGGCGACCTGTGCTGAGAAGGTACTTAGAGAAGGCTTCAACTATCATGAATTGTATCTGTGGGGTAAAGTCACCACCACCGCACAAGTTTTTAACCGTTATTGGGACTCCGAGCCCATGCAGTGTAATTTGTAGCTCAGTCCGTGCAATTGCAAAAAGTGGACACTGTAACAAGTAGTGAACAATCGAGTCTATACTTCCACATTGGCATAGGCTAGTCTCTGCTAGTCTGAAACGGTGCAAGTGTTCTTTCACACCAACATGCCCAATCCGGTGCCGGGCTAACGCTGTTTCCAAGTTTCTATGGCGACATGATGTCCATGGCCAGTACCTTACATGGCTCTTTACTGACATCAAGTGTCTTCCCTTATGGGAGGTTTCTACTTCTTGGAGCCAGTTACTCCTTAAAAAGTGATAACTTGACTTCTCTTACCATGTCTTCCCTGCCCAACCATGGATCTGATGTGACATCCTCCTGACCATGCCCAGCTTTAGCTGCCAGATCTGCCAGTTCGTTCCCCTCAATATTCTTGTGACCTGGTGTGAATTGAATATAGAGGGGACTTGCAATCTGCTTGTTGTGCAATCAGATGTATTAAACTATGAATTTCAAAGACACATGGAAGGTAGGATTTAGGGCGCAAAGATTGTATCAAGGATAAGCTGGACAAAGAGTCTGAGTAAATGACTGCACCTGCTGTTGGCCTAAATTTGCTCAGGAGAAATTGTAAGGCTTTAAGTATAGCAAACAGTTCACATCCCAAAATGCTTGTTTGCGGAGGCAGCTTCCAGTTAAAGCTACTTACTGAATTGGGGTACCGTACCACCACGGATGCTGCTGCTGACACCTCTGGATGCTCCAGTCTTGAGCCATCAGTGAATACCTCCATGTAACCCGCATAGCAGGTTGCTTGCAGCGTGAAGTTGCAGGTCCTTGAAGGTTGCTTGTGCCATGTTTTCTGTTATTTCCTTAACTGGCATAGGGAGAAAGTCAATGCAAATCATATCATTCAGGTCCACCCACGGAGGGATGGGTGACACCAGCGGGGCAGCATTGCCCACAGCCTACAGGAGGCTTCACTCCCAACAGGTTCGAGTACACTGGTATCTGGCTTTTCAACGGGTGAACAAGGATGTTGCCCACCCATGGCAGTCCTCTTGGTGCTGGGTTTGTATATACCAGTTCATTAGAAACAGCTGTATGCCGAGGTAATTCAGTAATTCGTCCAAAAAATCTCAAACTTACCAGCATTCTGTGCAATGACAATGGAGGGATATGGCTCTCTACTTCCAAGGATATTATGGGTATTGGGTGACATAGTGGCAAAGCAGAGAGTTGTTTAGACTCTCCCTAAAGTTCATTTTTGAGTTCTATAAGTAGACCAGTAAAGTATCCTGGATACCAGCATTATAATACTTAAGAAATTTGTTTAAATCTTGAGTAAATGATGAAATTAAAAATGAACTGATTCTAAAAAAGCTCTGGTTTGCCACTATGTTGGGTGATGTTTTCTGGGCTCCAATTGCTATTTGTGGGCACCAGTTTTGGATAGTGTTCAACTTCTGCACTCTGCAGGTGTGTCTTGGGCGCAGTAGAGTAAAACATTGCGCCATAATCTATTGTGGCTCTGATCGATCACTGATTTATAAAAGTTTAACATCATTTCTCTATCAGCCCCCCACCTGTGAGTCGACATCGACTGCATCAAGTTGACTCGTGAGA